TAATTAATTCACAAGAATTACAATAGACATCGTCAATTTAAACAATAGAAACATTATTTATAAACAACTATAAAATTTAAGTCTTTGTTTACAAATTGTAAATTGAAGAAATCACTTAACTTGTACATAGGATTAGCTTTACACCAAGAGAGCAGTTTTTTTGAAAATTCATTTAAGGGCAATGCACGAAAATCAACTGGAAACATGTTAAATATTTTGATCCCCAAGTGGGTATGATAGTTTTGAGATCTAGACAGTCTTACTCTACTTACATCAATAAAATTTCTATTTCTAGTTAAGTGGCTATGGACATTTCCTCTTAAAACATGTTTGTTTGAGTTCTTTTTCACAAAAATGGAGACTTCATAAATATACAGATTTACAACAGTTAATATACTAGATTCTATGAACAGAGATTTACAATGGTCTAATCTTTTGGCACCAGTAACAATTCTAATGACTTTTTTCTGTATCAATAACACCTTACCAATACCAACTCCATTACCCCAAATCACAATACCAAATCTTATGATGCTCTCAAAAAATGCAAAATAGGCTAATTTCAAATAGCTATTAGTGACATGATTCCTTAAACTGCTTAATAAACATTTGACTCTGGATAACCTTGTACAGATAAAATCAATATGATGCTGCCAAGACAGCCTATTGTCAATATATATACCTAAAAGCTTAACAGAACTAAAATCACAGATGTCATGGGTTGAAACCAATAAATTGTCAGTTTTGTCAACATTTAAAAGCAAGCCATTTGCAGAGAACCACTCTGTCGATTCACCTAAGGCATTTTCTGATAGGCAGTGCAACTGCCCTAAGTCACTGTGGCTACAGAACAGTGTTGTGTCGTCTGCATAGATTGTGACATCACTACAAGAAACATTAACAGATAGATCATTCATAAGTATTAAAAATAAGATGGGGCCCAAAATTGAACCTTGCGGAACTCCAAAATTAACATGAGTGACTTGCGATGTAATACCATTGACCTCAACCATTTGCCTACGATTACTAAGATATGACACAAATAAATCTAATTCACAGCCTTGAAAACCATAATGAGCTAATTTGTCTACAAGAATGGGATGATTAACACAGTCAAACGCTTTACTCAGATCACATAAGGTGATCTGAGCAAAGCACCTATCCTCTAAAGCGTTAAAAAGATTATTTACAACATGATCCACCGCTAAAGTTGATGAAAGACCTAACCTATAAGCAAATTGACAGTTACTAAACAGATTACTATGTTCAAAAAAATTACATACCTGGTTTTTGACTATTTTTTCCATAACTTTAGCCATTGTAGAAATACATGAAATGGGTCGGTAACTGCTAGGCAAATTTTTGTCCCCTTTTTTGTACACCGGGACAACCCTTGACAATTTCATAAAAGATGGAAAAACACCCTCTACGAGACAGCGATTTATACAATAAGTGAAAGGACTTAAAATAACAGAACAAACATTTTTCAATAAATTACTCGTTAACCCATACGCATCTCTAGTATCAGAATTTTTTAACGACACAATCACATTTAAAACATCTAATTCTGATACCATTGTGAATTTAAAATCAAACACAGGTTGAGCACTTTTTGCCACCATTTGATGAGCATTGCTTTTTGACACATTCACTTTCTCACAGATTTCTTCCACCGCCGTGGAGAAGTAGGAGCTGTAGTCATCAGGGGATAGCGCTGACATATTTTTCTGCGTGGACCTCCCAGCAGCTGAGTTAATTACCGACCAAGCAGTCTTGCACTTATTGGTAGACCTCTCGATGAGTTCTTCGTTTTTTCTCTTCTTTGCTTCTCGGATAGCAGTGCGATACTTGCCCTTTAGATTTTTAGATAAAAAAAGAATGTCCTCATTACCATACATTTTATACACATCTTGATAAAACAGTATTAATTTTTTCATTTTTTCCAGCTCTGGGGTGTACCAGTTAACTTTATTTTTGAGAGTTCTATTTTTAAACACCTTCTTCTTCACCAAAGGAAAACAATCATTAAAATTAGAGAAAAAACAGTCCCAGAACAGATTGAAACATTCTTCAGCAGATAAATTAGGGTCAAAAACCAAGTCCCAACTGACAGTGCTAAGGTTCATAATAAGGTTATCAACCATAACAGGCGTGAATCTTCTGGTCCATACTTCGCCGTCTTTCTGAAGTTGACGTTCCGCAGAAATTTGAGAATGTTCCAGTATTAACGCATCATGGTCCCCTAACAACGGGTTTACAACACTTATTTTATAGTCTGAAGAATTAACATTGGTTAGAACATTGTCAAGACACGCTGCGCCTCTAGTAGGTTTGTCATTTGCACAAAAAAGATTAAACTGTCTAAGTATATTCAAAAAGTTTGTAACACTAGGCTTTACAGCAGTGATGTCAAAGTCCGCATTGAAATCACCACCAATCATGAGTTTACTCGTACTTCCCCTACTAACTAGGAAAGCTAGCATATCTTCCAAAGACCGCAAGAAAATGTCTACATTACCCATAGGCGATCTATATAATGACACAACAATTAGGTTAAAATGAGGTAGTTCAACCGCAGTGACTTCAAAGTCAAGTTCTAAACAAAATTGATTCAAATCAATTTTTTTAAACAGAATGTCCTTTGCAACAAGTATTCCAACTCCACCTCTTGATAGATTGAAACGACAAAAATTGTTTCCTAATAGGTAACCACTCGGTATATAAAATTCAGCTTCATCATTTCTTAAAAAATGTTCACAGAGGCAAGCAACATTAATGTCACAGTCATTCATAAAAAGCTCCAAATCACCAAGTTTACATTTAAGACCCTGTATGTTTACTGATAGTAGCTTGATAACTTGATTTATTTTGGGTGATCCCTGGTTTCTATAGTCCTGTTTGATACTGGGCCTAAAAAATTTTCTTGACCAGCCCTATCCCAACGGTTTGTCCTAGGGGGGCGATATCTCCCAATCTTACTCCCTACGGGCCAGAGGTTAGGATGCATGAATTCCTCACCAAGATCGAAAGGTACACCTACCTTGAAAGAGCGATAACTGTCATACCTTGACACTATAATTTGACACTGAAAATTGGCATTTTCTTTTAAACTTCTCAAATATTTTAAGATTGAGTCCGAAGTTACCGAAATGTCCATGCCTGTCAGAAAAAGCCACATCATTCTCTGAGCTGGTTTAAGCAAATTGTCTTCACTTACCTCTTGAGTCCCATGCACAACTTTATTTCTTATAGTAGGCCTACCTTTTACAGCCTCGTTGTAAGCCTTGGGCTTCGACATACCATGAGCATGAGCCTTATCCTCAGAATCCATAGGCCTAACTATGGTTTCAGATTTCTTCTCATTAATGGTTGCTGGATACTTTCTATTATTAAAGCGCCTTTTATTATTTCTGACTTCTGTCCAGTCAGAAGAGTTGGTATAAATTCTACTTTTGTTTGAATAAGAACAATTTTCTCGTTGTTGGTTATGTCTCGAATATTTTGGGTTTCTAGAATGCAAGTCACCGACTTTAGGTTGCAATAATTGCAAGTCTCCGTCAACGCCAACTAAATTATTTGTTAATTCATCTTTGCCATTGCATAGAGCATTGGAAGTCATTGGTTCACCGATCGTTTGATCGAAAGTCATATCGTCGACAGCGTTTTTTGCACTCTGCCGGAGAGAGGAAGAGGAAGAACCACAAAACCCTGAAACTGAAATGTTCGGCATTGCTAATTCCTGTTTACTCCCGTCTGCAGACGACAGTGACAGTATTGTATTGCTTAACCTTAAATTTCCATCAGCTAAAGAGTCCATTCGCTTATTTAGTTCTAAATTGTCATTTATCACTCCTTTTACAAGCCCCACTAAGTTGTCAACAATTGATCTCAAATTTAACAAATCGTCCGTATCCCACACTTTAGTGACTAACCTGTCTATCTTCAGCACACAGTTTGAGCAGTACCACTTAATGTCTTCTTGTATCTCATTAATAAGCTCATATCTCGTATCTGATACATTTACACATGATGGATGAAACCATAATTTACAAAATCCATCACAAAATAGTCCTTTTCCATCACTAGGAATCACAACTTTACATACAGCACAAGGGGCGTCCTCACTCTCCTCCACCATCTTGCCAACTCAAAATACACACAAAAAAGATTATAAATAGATATTGATATCAAAGATTAGTTTCAGTTTCTTATGTGATCAGAAAATTCAAATCAATGAATGTACTAAAGTGTTTTGTTTAGTAACTCAGGGGCGCGGTTTTTCTAGTAAACAAATCATACTAGTTGTCAAAAAGTGCACCTGAGCTGGAAGCCTATAGATTCAAGTCCCCTTCAGCTACGTGATATTGAGCAGATAAATGGATGGGCATCGCCATAAGCTCATGGTTCACAATTGCCTCCGGAATTCTAAATGTCAAAACTAAGAAAAGGTCTCCAAGACAAAAAATCTCAATTTTGGATCAAAAGTGTAATTAATCTGTCTATTCAGGCCCCTTCGGCTCCACATGTGGTGCAGACCCTACTAGAACCGTACCTACTAGTAGGCTTCTGTTTTTGGAGGGGGGGGGGTCGGGTACAGAATACCCCCTCAAACTAAAATTCAGCCACGTAGCCCATGTTCATTTGGATACTTCAACAAGAAACATTCTATAAATAAACCTACCTCAACTATATCACAGAGGTACCTAGTTAGTATGAGAGCTAAAAAATGACATTTTCTTGTCGCAGGAAAGTAACAGTAGCTATATCACCAGGGATTTTTTTTTATTTTCAAAATAGTGTTACTTAATAACATTAAATTAAAGGTGTATATTTTTTATTTGATTTTGTATAAAATTATAAAAATGTGTATGAGGCTGTGATATCAGTATAGCCAGCCTTGTATAAATAACAAGCTTTTTACTGTTGTTTATCATAGCAACCATTGGAAAGTCAAAGTAGCAAGCAGGCAAGCAGGTGGACTTATTGAGGATCATCTGCAGTTTAGTTGCCATAACAACCACACAAGAGTTGTTTATATTTTGTTTTGAAATGTCAAATTCGTAGCTAGCCAAACCGTTGAGAACAAAGTCTGATAATCAATAAAACCTCACAAATCCTCATTGAAAATCAGTTTGCTGTAGATCAAACAAAAACTTCTATCCACTGTACCTGGAACTTGTTTATCAAATTCAAAACTTCTTGTTTACAGTACCTACAATGCTTAACTTCCAAGTTACATTACCTCAAGATTTGAAAGAGGCAGCTAGAATTGAAAAAGCAAGACAGAATGAAGAAGAAAGAAAAGCAAGGATTTTCAATTCAAGACAGCGTTTGATTGGTGTTAGTAGTTTGGGTGTTCTTAATGTTGTTTTGCACCCCTCTTAACTTAATTTATTTTCACTTGTTTTGGGACTTTAATTGGAGACAAAAATAGTTGATTCCATCTTTGCTACTCCAAAGAAAAGAGTTCATTAGTTTTTTCTTCAAATTACTCCAAAATAATCTGTACTACCAGTGGTTGAGGTTTTAATTTTTAAATATGTTATAGGTAGATCTTGAAGGACTCAAGAAGCAGATAGAAGAAAAGAAAACACGGGAGGAGGAAGAGAGAAAAATAGAAGAAGCTTATGTAAAGAAACAAATTAGAGATAGTGAAATAGCAAAACGTCTGGAAAGTCAAATTGAAGAGGTAAGCATCATATGGGATCTAAAGTTTGAGACACACCATCTAAGGAAATATATATAAAACTCACAAATATCTTCAAGGCTTGATTTCTTAAAAGTTAAGTAACCCAAACTAAAACCAATCAAACTTACAATCTAGCTAAGAAATTTGTATCTTTATTCCCCCTTGTGTAGCATCTTGAGGGGATCTTATGAATTATCACAAGTTCTTGACTCTGGGATAACTCCAAGAAAATACCTTCATACTTTTTTGCATTGGACCATCTTAACCCTTTCCACTCGGATTAGTTGACCCCTTGTTGTCCCATACGCTTGCATTTATTGCCATGCAAAAAAACATGTTTTAAGTTTTGTGTACATATACTGACTAAAATAAATTATTTGTTGTACTTGAGGGCTTGATTCTTATTCAGCATAAAATTGTACACAAGTAAAACAAAATATCAAAATAAATATACCCATAAAATATTTTTTGTGTGGTCATAATATAAAAAAAAGCAAAATAAAATGTACAAAATATTTTTTAGGAGGCTTTTTAAAAAACGTTAACACATTTTCAGGATTTGTAAAACACTTTATCAACATTAGATATCTAGTTGCCAATTCAAATCAGCCATTACAAGAAGGATTAGGTGTATTTTTAATGAAAAAATGCATTTTCAAACTTAGATTTTTTGGTGATTTTGGTCGTCATGGTTACTATTTACACTTCTCTATTCTTTAATCCACAGCTGACTAAATAAACTTACAATTATTTTTCAAGCTACCAAAGACATGTAAAATGAATAAGGAAATCATAAAGTTTGTATTCAACACAAATTCAAAACATGCAAACACTATATAAAAGGGATTTATTAATAAAAAGCCGATGCTGAAAATGTCGCGGCGGCCGCGACATACGAGTGGAACGGTCAGACGTGAATGTCGCGGTAGCGGCGACATACGAGTGGAAAGGGTTAAACTGTCAATATTTGTTATTTGTAATCCTTGTATCGGTGTACTTGTACAAAGAAGTGCCATCCAAAGCCAAAGTATTCTCTAGCCAGAGTGTTCTCTTTCTGTGCAGAACAGACGCAGATTGAACGAGGATGTCAACGAGTTTCGCAAACAGTACCAACGGGCGGAAGATCGTAGAGAGTTTGACCTCTACGACCCTGACGGACTGAAGAAGAGTTTGCCCTGTCGTCTTCTCGATGATGACCCTCGTCTCAGTATTTCTTCAGCTCAGAAGTGTGTTTTGTATCTTTAGTGCAATTTTAATAAAATTTTACTTTGCGAATAACATTGGATGGCTTGAGGATCGTATTAAAATTAATCTGAGTGGGAATATTGGTTAAAACAGAGAATGGGCCCTTGGTCCTATTCTTGCGTTTGTTCATAATTAATTATTGCGGTGATTGGTCACTTTAAACTGCTGCCTCACTGAATCCACACTAGCTTAAAAAGCCAAATGGTGACAATTACATTTCCTTAGTGGTTTTTATCAAAATTTCTGTGTAATTGAATTAGGTAGTTTACATAAATCAGTCAACACTTTCAAATTTTATTAGTGTAGGCCTACTTTTGCCTTATTTTAAATTAGCGAGTTTTCAATCTCCGATAAATAAACAATTACCTACGGTATTTTATCAACATAGAAACTATTAACTCAAGGGAAATTAAATTAAACAACAGTTGTACCTACTAATTATCACTTTTTTAAAAGAATTTTTTTTTAATTGCAGTGCTAGATATATAAAAAAGTGTGATAAAGAACTTAGACACAGCATGGGAATTAACAGTAAAACATGAAATATCAATAGGAAACTTACACAATATATAATAACCTGGAGGACCCTTGACAAGTTATCATACAGTAGTTATTTATCGTTAAAATTACTATTATATCCAATATTACTTAATTTACTAATGCAAATTTATTATATTAGTTTGATATTTACCAGGTTTGAAGGGGAGGACCTCGCTACCGAGGCTCGTAAAAAGATACAAACCGAGCAACAGAAGGCGTGGCTCGAACAACAGATGTTGGAGCGATGTCGCGCCGACAAGGAGCGAGAAGTAGCTGAGAATGTTTACCACGAGGCACTGGTCGCACGAGACCAACGCACAATGCAGCTTGATGCCATGGAGCGAGAGTGCAAGCGGCGTCTTGAGTTGGCGAACGTTCGCTTCAACCAGGCTCTGGTAGGCTTACTGTTGGATCTTTTTAAACATTCTTTGTTCAAGTCATCTTTGTTCAAGTCAAATTATTGACTTGAAAAAGTATTTTGGGTCTTTAAACCAGTACAAAGTTAAGAATAACATGAAGAAGTTTGTCAACAATTGAAATATTCCAAGTTAATTGAACTCTGTGAATAGTAGAGAATGCTCTTTTATCTGTCGTCTAACTACACATTTCATCCTTAGTCGTTACTGGTTAAGAAAAAAAAAAACTCAGTTCATCATAAAGAGAAATGTGTAGTTGCATGGCATGTGTTGATAAATCACTATTAATAAGTACCTGGGGACCGAGCTTTGCTCGGGGATCTTCATCACTATACTCTGAGAGTATTATACAAAACCACAAACAAAATTAAGATTGTGATTTTTTCTCTAAATATTTTCAGGCCGCAGAGCAAGAAACGAAGTGTCGTATGCAGCAGATGCGTGACATGGAGGATCAACGCGCAGAGATATACAACGCGATCACGAGCGACTTTCTGACGGAGAACCCTAATCTCCGTTCCAGCAACCTAGGACCAGGACGAATCAACACCGCGTTCTACAAGGGAATGACGGACGCAGAGAAAGAAGAGATACGGCAGACGAACCTGCGGCTCATAGAAGAGAACAAGGTTAGATTAAAAAACATACTCACACAAATGTATTCACTGTATTGGTTGTTACTATTTGTTGAATACTGACTTACGCCATGGCCACTTGTACCCAAGTTGGTACTTGGCCTCGCCAACACATCGCCAGTTCTCTCGGTCTAAATCTTCCTCTACTAGTCTCATCTTTTCCATATATTTTCGGACTTGATCCCACCACCTGACCTTTGGTTTTCCAACTGGTCTCCTTCCCCTCGAAGAGAAGAAATAGAAATAGAAATAACGCAAGATTTGAACAAAAGAAAAATAGCTTAAAATAACCAAAACAAATAAGTAGGCCTAATAAGTTTTGTTAAAAAGATCCTCTGCAACAGTTTCAAACAATTGCCTTCACATGAAAGGCCTTTTTTACTGTCAATAGTAGGTACATCGGCGTTAAGAGTTCAAATCCCTCCAAATCACCAATGTCCTTTAGCTGTTTGACAATGCGTTTACCCTGATGTTCAGAGCCTTCAGCGTTCACTTGTCAAGTAAAAAGATTGGTCTTCTAGGTCAGGTTTGCTATCTCTCTAATAGAGATCGTACTCTACAAAATTTGTCTAAATAGCTTCCAAACCATGTTCTTCAGGATTAGCAACACCTTCATACCATTCCACGGTCTAAAAAGTAAGAGTTTATAACGTTTCTTCTATTACTTACCAACATAGAAATGTATTTGATTTCAGCGCCGTCAAGAAGAAGAAGCCAAAAGAGAAGCCGATTGGTTGGAAATTACTAACGGAATCGCAAGATCCGTGAATCTTAAGGATCGGGAGATAATGAAAAAACAAAGGTTAGTTCAGTTATAGACTAAAGATATTCCCTAATAGATGTATCATCCTTTTGGATCCAGGTGGTGAAGGGGGAGCGAGCTGGTCTATGGTTAGATTGTGGGGCTCGGAGCCCGAGGTCCTGGGTTAAAATCCTGCCAATCACCAATGGATTTCATAGTATGATAATGCTGCGACCTAGGACTAGCCTGAAGTAATGTGTAAGAACAGTTCTGGGCTAGAACCTAGCGTCCTAGGATGTGAAGGTGGGATAGAAAAAGTTAATCAGGTGAGGACAATTTTTGGGTATGTTTCTGTTTCTGATAATGCTTGAGGGTGTAGACTTTATATATTGTTATGTATCAAGAAATAAGTCCATATGTTTTATTTATAACATCTGTCAGATGACTGTTTATATTATTATGTTTTGTTTACTTTTTAGTTTAGTCTGATTTGTGAGTTCAATAAATTCAGTTGTGTTAATTATGTTTTAATTTACTAAACTGGCGACGAGGATAATTGGATAATGGATCTCAATAAGCCTGATCGCTTTGACCCCCATACAAATCCTGCAAGTGTCGCACAGCGTTGGGGTACATGGATTAAGCAATTTGAGAGGTATGCTTTAGCTGCAGACATTACCAGTGATGTAAGGAAAACTGCACTAGTACTTAATCTAGCTGGTGAGGAAGTGGAAAACGAAACAACCCTGGTCTCGTCTCCACATAGATTTCGCTGGGCCCTTCCAAAACAAGTTGTTTTTGATTGTTGTCGATTCTTTCAGCAAATGGTTAGAAGTAGTTTTGGTGCCTTCTACAGATTCAAGATCAACTATAAAGGTCCTCAGAAGCCTTTTCGCAACACATGGTGTTCCAGACACAATAGTATCTGATAACGGGTCGGCTTTCACTTCACAAGAATTTCGATCGTTTAATGAAAGCAATGGCATCCGCCACGTCGTGGTTGCACCATACCATCCGTCATCGAATGGTCAGGCAGAAAGGATGGTCCAAACGACAAAAAATTCTTTGCGACGAATACTTCAAGGAGATTGGCAAAAAAGACTGGCTCAGTTCCTAATATCATCTCATATAACGCCAAATTGTTCTACTAATATGTCACCGAGTGAACTGCTGTTCGGAAGGCGTATTAGAACCATCTTAGACAGAGTTCACCCAGATTATTCTTCAAGTGACAAAGAAGAGAAAATCTTGGATAAAGCGCTTCACGATTACCAACAGTCACCTCAGAGGAAATTTAAAGAAAATGACTCCGTATTTGCAAGAAACTATAATCAGCGAGGACCAAAGTGGATTCCTGCTAAAGTCACTAGAATAACCGGGCCGCTGAGCTACCATTTGATAACAAAAGAAGGCATTGAAATACGACGTCATATTGACCAATTGAGACCTCGCTCAGAAACATCAAAAGCATCTACTAACTCACACTTGGATAATCCTGAATCTCCAGTAAACCCACCATTCCACCCACTACTCCAGAATCCTATTCAAATGAGAACACCAGAAGCACATCATATCACTCCAGTGCAACCACCATCAATGGTTCGCAATCCTATTATGATGAGAACACCAGACGTACAACCAATGCGACCATCAGTGATGCAACAATCTCGCAATTCATTTAGTGGTATAGAAGGTTCAATTAACCCTCATCAAGAAGATGCTGGTTTCAACGTTTCTGGTTTAATTCAAGACTCCACTAGCATGAGCACGAGTCCACAACCTGTTCGGTCACGTGTCTCTAGATCAAACTCCCAAAACACTTCAATGAGCATGAGTCCTCGACCTGTTCGTATCCGTCGACCACCGGCATATCTGAAGGACTACCTAACGGGGGGAGGAGTGTTATGTATCAAGAAATAAGTCCATATGTTTTATTTATAACATCTGTCAGATGACTGTTTATATTATTATGTTTTGTTTACTTTTTAGTTTAGTCTGATTTGTGAGTTCAATAAATTCAGTTGTGTTAATTATGTTTTAATTTACTAAATATATCTTTCACCAAATTTTAAGTTCTTATGAGCAAGTAGAGATATGTACAGTAGACTCCCTCTTATCCGGACTCCCCGGGACCGGGGCCAGTCTGGATAGCGGTTTTCCGGTTAAACCGACGTCCCCAAAACTCGTTAAAACGGACCTTTAAATGCATACTGTTTAAGCCAATAATGATTATTTAGACATGTGATCACTGATCTCAAATCTTTCCCACGAGAACAGTTGTTTCAGTACTGCCCACTTCCTGCCGATCTAGTCCGGTTAAACCGATATGCTGATAAAAATTGTCCGGTTAAAGTGATGTCATTTCTGCCAAGTGTAGTCCGGTTAAAAGGTGTCCGGATAAGAGGGAGTCTACTGTATTTGAAAACCAATGATTGTTCTCTGATTGTATACTCATAGAGCATTTAGGCACTTGCTATAAATATTAACCATAAAAAAAGAAACATTTGGTCTACTTTTATGTTGCTAGTCAGAAACTAAAAATTAAAAGCCTCAGACTTTTACAATAGGATGAAAAGTATACTGGCAGTTTCCAAAGCTAATGGTTTGTTGCTAAGTATTTTAGATTCTGTTGAAGAAGTCATAATGAATCGAGTCAGTGGAAATTTAACACTTCAATACAAATTTAACAATAAACAGTTTTTAATTTCAAATTTTTGTTACAGAGAGATGGAAAGAGAAGTGAGGGAACAAAATCGTATCTTAGACTGCGAACACAAGCGACATCGCGAATACATCGACAAAGTCGTATACACTAACACTCCAACTTCGGCGTACTTTGAACAATTTAACACTACAAGCCGTTAATTTCATGTTTCACACCATCACGATCATATAAACATTTGTGAGATAACTTTGGTGTGACAATTGCGATTGAACGTTTTGCACGTAGCTGTTTACTTCTAAATCAATTGTATGGTGCACTGTATGATGGATCTGCTTTTACTTACAATTTTTAATAAAGCTTGCTAATATATCATTTTGGTTTCTTAATATTATTTTTCATAAGATCCCAAAGTACAATAGAACACGGACCTAAATATTTTGGAATTAGACTCAAATCAACTTTTTATCACACAAAAATTTGAGTTATTTAGTTGCGTACTTATTCGTATAACAAGTTGATTAATTTAATTAGTGATAACTGCTTCCCTGGTTATCTGTTAGCTCAAAAAGTTGCTGCTTCAAAGAGGAGTTGCTTTATGATGTTTTGAAAATTGGCCCAGACTCAGATAGATATAAATTTGATATACATTTTGTGGAATACAGAAAATTGTTTACCATGCCAAACTAGGAAGGCTTATGGTAAGCTATAGCAACTACGACCCATCATCTTCAACAAAACATAAGGTATAAAATAGAACTTTAGACACTAGCGCATTCTTTGACTGGTTCACACAACTAGGTTCTCATTTTAATAAAAAAAATTGGCAACAGCTGCCATACAAATGGGATGTCTACTTCAGTATCCAGTAGCTATACAAAAAAGAATTAAAGATAGACTGTCAGCCGTGCAGTGGTTACCATAGGTTGTGGCGCACACCACTGGGAGCGCCGTGTAGTTATGTAGCGCTTAGGCCGTAACTACATGGCACTCCCAGAGGTGTGTGCCAGAACCTATGGTAACCACAGCACAGCTGGCGGTCTACAGTATATTTTATTCTTGTTGTCTATGCCAATAGTCAATAGTTTCACCTAATTATTTATGGTTACTGGCTATCAATAACGGTTTGAAAAAAACACAACCGAGTATTTTAAGAAACATCTATTTTAAAATTTTACCAAAAATCCACTTTAATTACACACTTGATAGTTTAAAAAACAAAATTATCAATGATCACAAATTACTGTAACCTAGGCGGTGGCGGCGGTACTGGCAGCATGTCGCCCATCTTAGGTGGCGGGGGAGGAACAGGGTTGAACATCGGAGGTGGCGGTGGTGCCATCATAGGCGGAGGTGGAGGATGCATCATAGGTGGAGGGGGTAACATCTGCGGGGGCCTCACAGGCGGAGTGGGAGGTGGGGGCGGCCGCATCATAGGTTGCTTGGACTCCATCTTGAAGGCAAACTGGAGGAAGAACTGCTTAGTGTCTTTGTTCCAATGAGTCCAAAACTTCCCTTCTGATTTGTCTACTTCACGACTTGGCACCTACGAAAGAAATTTGAATCTTAGAACTTAAAGAAAGTTATTTAATATGTACACCTAAGAGTCCTGCTAATTCAAACCACATTTTGGGGGGGGAAGGTGTATTCTGAAATACTAGACAGTGTCTAGCCGACCTGGAAACCAAGAATGGCACATGAATTTTAATTAGAAGAAACTGTAAATTATAAATAAATTTTGTATGAAATCTAGGGGCATTTGGGATAATTATTGCCATAGCCTTTGAACGGGCAAGCATCCCTTCATTAAGCAGTTCAATTGGTTCTTACTAAGGTCTTTGTGTATTGAGAAGAAAGTGACAGCAGGAGACGGTCATGGTATGGTCGTAACCGTGGGATACAGATATGGCAATTTCGTCATGAAATACATTACTTTTTATTAAATTTCTCAAATAGGGAACACTAACGAATTTCCATATGGGTAATACAGTAAGCTACAGTATTACCAGGTATTATGGTAAGACCTAGACCCAGGACCAATTTACTTTTTTGTTTTAGGGTCCCGAGAAGCCGAGAAAACTATCAGTTCAAATTCATATATACTTAAGGGTGGTAAAAAATAACAAGAATGTAACATATTTACAGTTTTAAGTACATCCATTTTTAACAAAGAAATGGATCTGTTCTACAAGGGCTTCAAATTGCTCTCCAATGCTTGGATATCACTTAAACAGCTGTGATAACTACAACTTAAAACTTTATTCTAAAATGGTGTGGCGACCATAAGAATATAGGCTAGTTATTTTAAGCCAAGTATGAATGGAGATGAGTGTCGGAAGAGTGGCACAATATTGTAGTCTTGTTAGTGACTAAGGTCGATGTTCCTTAGACACAACTGTTAATTAAAGCCCATATAATAATAATAGCATAAGAGCAATGAATAATTATGAAGATATCCCTACTCCTCACATGATAATTTTTGAAGAATTTGTACATTGTAAGTTTGTAGCTAGCTTTAAGTAAAATAAAATTAATAAAAAATACAGACATTTGTACAGCTTGTATTATGAAATTACAAACCATAAACTTACAGATCTATGAACATAACAGAAAGGAAACAATAGGCAAATAGAAGGAAGGATACCTTGAACGCAATAGTCTCGTAAGGCTCAGCCGCAAACAGAAGGTATTGCCACTTCCTGTCTGGAGGCTCCACACGCTGCTCGTACGCAGACATAAACCTGTGTCTGGGCGAAACTCCATCAGCAATCTCTGTAACAGGTTGTAACATGAAAATTTTATATCTGATAACCAGTTCATGAGATGTTAGGTAGGGTCCAGTTTATCTTATGAGTCTATATGGCAGTGATAAGAATTCAGCTATGACCACTTTGATTTAAATGTCAAAGTCTCTTCTGCATTGTATTAGGAATTTTGTTAGCCTACTGAAAACTATATGACACAGTTTATTTAGTAATGTTGATTATAGACAAATATGTGTAATAAAAAAAGTTTATTCGATGCATACAAATAAACCCCCACATTCTGACCCTGCATAATACTTTACCTGATTACTCAAGAACAATAAGTTTCTTTGAAACATTCTCAACTACAGTAGAAATCTAGATTATGCTCTAATCATCCAGATCACCGATTAACTGGACGGAGTTCCAAACGCCCTATATCTACTGCATTAGAGCCTGACATCACGCTTGGTCGAATTTTTCCACACAGTTTGCCGTGTACTACCTGTTGCAAAAAACATGTTGAGGGTAATTATCCCCTGTCCTAAAAACATTAACCCTGCTAAAGTTTATGAAGGCTACATTCAAATACAGAAATAAAATAAAACTTATTTATGTTCATTTGTATTTTTGTTGTTGTTAATGTATTGAAAAGGACTCTGTCCCAGAGTCCTTATGGACCAGCCGCCAATGGAGGTGACGTATCAATCGGTGGAGAATCGAACCTTTTGCCACTGTCTAAAGGCCTGTGTACACGTGGCTAGTTTAGTAGTTGCTAATTTTCGCTATTAGCACAAGCTGGACACACTAGCGCAAAAGTATACAATATCTACATGTGGCTAGTTATTCTCACTGATTTTAGCAGTAGTCAGTTGTAGAATTGTAGTGTTCATTGGCCGCAGTTGTCATCTCAGTATTTACAAATGTATTCTGTTCCTTTAAATCGCAATGTTTTGAGACAAATTTTAAAATTTGTGTAAAGGAGTTGTGTGAGAAGTACCGGTAACTTAATAAAAAGACACTAACTTTGTGGGTTCAAAAGTGGATCAGGCGAGAACTTCTTGGTGCTTCGAATACTTTTTTAAGAGAACAGGCGGTGGAAGAACAGTCTACGACCACTCTACTTGACAAACAAACAGCAACTGTCCTGTCCTGGCAAGTGGCGATTAGCACTAGCAGTCTCATAGAGGTGCACACACCCTGCTAGTAGCACGCTAATTCACTATCGCTAGTGGTCACATGACTACCCTCCCCACTTGTTAGCGTTTAAGTATTATCAACATGTGAAAAGCGACTAGCAGCGAGTAAAATACTAGCACGGTAGTTGTTATATTTACTAATGGAAGACCGTTTACAGGGGGCTAATTTATAAGCGCTAATCAATTAGGATCCAATACAAGCCTCGTGTACTCGGGCCTTTAGGAGTCCAACTATTAGATTATTTAGATCTAATGTATTCAGTTTTCAGTAAATAATATCTACACTTACCAGGATAATCAATCTGGAAGAGCAAACTCTGCTGTCCAGAATCTGACTCTCGCTGCTTTGTCACTCGATAACCTGGACGTCCGATCTTTACAAACTTCTTCGGCTCCACTCGTGGCTTCTCAGGAGCCGGCTGTAGAATAAAATAAAATATGAATATAACAATCAAATCAGAACATTGAAACAGTGGTTAAAAGCGGTAAAGTAAGACTACAACTTCTACGACACAGGGAACAGAACCTTGACCGAACTAGTTAAAACCATCTGTAGTTAATAACTACAGGTATACATTCAAAAACTACACATTAAATACATAAATAAAACGGCATAAGTCTTACACTGCAACTGGCTGTCCAGACCATCGAAAATTTGAACCAAACAGATTCGAGCAAGAGGGATTTCACTTTGGATAATCTTACTTAATGTTATGGACTAAAACTAAAAGGTTATTTGTTTAACTTAGGCCTACTTTTTAGTTTAACTTTTAGGAATAATGTGCTAGATATACCTAGGTACTAAAATCAGCATCAATTCAATGTAAAAATTCATGACCATCTTGCGAGAGTTAAGCTACAGCCATCTAAATCTGTATGACAGTTGAACCTAGGGATATAGTAACACGAAACTGACCTGCTGCGGCGAGTCCTTGGCTTCCTTGGCAGCTCGTCGGGCGAGGTTTGCTTGATGTTTCTTACCCTGAGTGTGTGCCAGGTAGCTGCCTTCGTTGTTGTGAAGTGTGAGACATAGCTTACATTCGTAAGAACCTAAGAACAATAATTGGTGTACGGTATTATAAAGGTTTTTAATGTCATGTCCGTATTTTTTAAATTTAGAATGGTGAATTTAAAAATGTCAATTGTAACTAGGCCCATAAGGTTTTCACAGCTAAGCAATTAAAATCCCCAATATTTTACTTCTCTTAAATTACAGAAGACAAGATAGGTCTCCTCTATATCCAACATAGTGCTTTTATAAGATAGAGCAAGAGGTTAAGCTTACAAGGCTAAGAAAGATAAGTACTTACTTAAAAAAATATCAAAAGATTGTACGTCTGTTTGATAAATATAGTTTTACAAGAAAAATTCTCAATGAGATATTCAATTTGATTCAACACAACTTGTGTGGATTTAAGTAAGTTAATAGGGTATTGCATAAAAGGCCTTCAAAATTTAAACTTAACTTACCTAAATGGTTCTTCATAAAATAGGGGTCCTTGTTCAGGTCAATAGTCTCGAGGGCAAGTTGCCGCAGACGTTCTCGACGGTCTCTGTTGGCCTCTGACCACGAGGCCACACCTCCCGTCCCGGTCTTTCCACCGGGTCGATTTTGAAAATCCATGTTTGGGTGTCAAATGAACTGTTCTGCAAATAAGGTCTGCCAACAGAAATATGAGGAGACTTAAGGGGTGGTAGTGTAGGTTGGTAGTAGTCGCACATTTATAGACCTAAGCCTACAACAAACTCCAAGTTAATTGTTGAGAGCTTTAACTTATGGCTTCTGAACTTCTATTTATTTTTATTGGAGTAGGCCTACAGGTAAATTGATCACTGATCAAAACACATGATAGTTGGGCCAAAGAATACAGCTTATAGGTAGCGGGTACAGTTTCTTAACTGGGCTATGCTAATATCGATTATAACTATCAAATTGAAAATATTGATTAGTAAACGATATTTTTAAATATTTCTATGGCTGTACTTTACTTTAGGTCCTACACTCATTCTAATGAAAATATCGATCGATCCCTATTGATTATTCGATATAGGCTATCGTTTGGTTAGTTAGGTAAGGTTAACCTAACCTAACTAACCAAACGATATATCGAATGAAACAATCGAATAATCAATATTATCTTTCGGTTGTTTGTGTAGGACCTTAAGTAAAGTGCAGCCATCTATACTATTATAAAATTAAACTAGGCTAGCATAACCTAACCTAACCAAGCTTGCTGATGGTGAAAAAATCGCATGAAGGTTTACTGATCGAATCGATAGTTTTAATCGATATTAGCATAGCCCAGTTAAGAAACTGTACCCCTAAGCAATATAGGCCTAGGAAGGCTTAAGAATGAGTACCGAAGGTATGTAACGGCTATGCCTAAACAAACCAATAACTTATAGGTTATCCTGGATAGAATAAAAAAATTAAATAATTCACACGAAACCATAATATTTTAAATACACTAATTGATATTGCAGTTCCAAAATACTTCAACACGATTAATAGAGTTTACAACAACCTCGACCTAATCAATACCTAACCTAGACAAAGTAGGCATCCAGACAGAGTTAGATTTTTACAGCTAATGAAGGTTTAAGAGAACAGGCTTGTGACACAAAATATACTGGACATACTTTTAAAGTTAAATTACATGAGGAAATTTCTGAACCGAAAAGTTTACTTCGTAAGTAGGCCTAACATGAAATATTATTTCACTTACGTCTAGTTAGTACTAAAAGTTGACAACCGCCATTGGCATTTGGCAGACAGAAAAAAGATGCGAAATCAAAGTACGTGCATTGGTAGTGTAGCCAACAAAACTGAAAAATACAAATAAGCCCAATTTTCCCTGCTAATGCTCGGTTCCCTTATAAAGTACCTCACACTATAACAATACAATTATAATTTTACGATTATTTTATTGTAACTTGCCCTCATGTATTATCGATTGTAAAAATGGTGTTAACCGTATGATAAATAAATAAATAAATACAAAGTTTTTACAGTAGCATTGCATTTCAAGGTGGTTAAGTGTGTCCCCCTTTTATTCATTTTATTTATCATAGAATCAGTCATTGATTCTATAGATAAAGGCGAGCAAACCGTAGGAATTTTCATCGGTTGACCTCTGAACTACCTTTTACTTTCTCCCCCTATACCATAGTATATGGAGAAAGTATTGTTTTCGTCAAAATTTTCTAGTTTGAGTTTTGAGTGGATATATTCGTTTTGGGTCCCCCTGGACCCAAAAAAGTGGTTTTCGAAGTGATGTCTGTGTGTGTGTGTGTGTGTGTGTCTGTGTGTCTGTGTGTCTGTGTGTCTGGATGTGTACAGAGCTAGAGACTACACCTGTGGTCCGATTTCGATGAAATTTGGTATGTAGGTTCTAATCCATGGTATATCCAGGCGTTTTTTTCATTTTTTTGAAATTTTGATTTTTAATGGGGATTTTCCCATAAAAACCCATAAAAAACCGGAAAAATCTGATTTTCTCAAAAATGGCCCGAACGATTTTGATAAAAATTTAGTATGTTGTAGCCCCAGTGGCGGCTCTAGGACCTTGTCTAGGGGGGGGCTCCGGGGGGTTTGGGGGGTGTGGAGCAAAAAATCATATTTTTCCGTTATTTTATGGGGTTTTATGGGAAAATCCCCATTAAAAATAAAAATTTCTAAAAAATGAAAAAAACTATCAAAATTGTAAGGACCTTAACATATTATGTTAAATCAAAACCGGATTTTTGTCTAAAATCCTATTTTTCGTTATTTTATGGGGTTTTTATGGGAAAATAACATAATTTACCGTAACTTTTGAACCGTAATTTTTACAGAAATGGGATTTGTACCATTTTGTTCAGAATTTAAAGGGCTACAGTAGCCCTTTAAATTCTGAACAAAATGGTACAAATCCCATTTCTGTAAAAATTACGGTTCAAAAGTTACGGTAAATTATGTTATTTTCCCATAAAAACCCCATAAAATAACGAAAAATAGGATTTTAGACAAAAATCCGGTTTTGATTTAACATAATATGTTAAGGTCCTTACAATTTTGATAGTTTTTTTCATTTTTTAGAAATTTTTATTTTTAATGGGGATTTTCCCATAAAACCCCATAAAATAACGGAAAAATATGATTTTCCCAAAAATGGCCCGAGCGATTTTGATAAAAATTTAGTATGTTATAGTCCTTTATATTCTGAACAAAATGGTACAAATCCCATCTCTGTAAAAAATACGGTTCAAAAGTTATTGTAAATTATGTTATTTTCCCATAAAAACCCCATAAAATAACGGAAAATCAGATTTTCCCAAAATTGGCTCGAAAGATTTTGATATCAATTTAGTATGTAATAGTCCTTTAAATTCTGAAGAAAATTGTACAAATCCCATTTCCGTATATTTACTCTCACCGCTTACACATGATAAAGGTTGTTGACAAACTTATGGGAGAAAGTATGTGTCAGAATGCTGATACCGTTTATTAACTTTCTGAGACTGGCTTTCTTTTCTTTTTTCCAGTCCCATATTGTATATGGCACGCTCCTGTGGGGTCACTCCCCGCATGCTCAGAAAGTACTGCTCCAGCAAAAAAAGGCTATCCGAATAATATGTCAGGTTCATTATCTGGAGCATTGTAGGCATTTGTTCGCTGAACTTCGTATTATGACTGTTGTAAATGTATATATTTATCAATCTTTGTTAGCTATTAAGGACATGGAAGAAGATCTGGTTTGTAACAAGGATGTCCACTCATATTTTACAAGAAATAGAAACAATGTACATTTAAGTAGCAATAGATTGAGTAAAACTAATAACTGTTTTCCTGTTACAGGCAAAAAGTTTTACAATGCTCTCCCGGAAAGTGTACGGTCATTGCGGAAGTCAAAATTCACAAAAATTGTAAAAGATTGGCTTGAAACGAATCCTTTTTATGAAACTATAGAATTTTTTGATGCTCTGAAGGCTGGCCATTGTTTTTAGTTTGTAATTTTATTTTTACACTCAGGTATGTGTCACAATTTTCATTTTCTTTTGTTTGCCATAACTGCATGGTTTGCTGTTTTGTTTGCTGTGAAGATTAACCATTTTTTATTTCAGCATGGTTTGTAATTATGAACATTTAATTATTTATATGCATTGGTTTGTTTATTTTAGAATAGTGACGTTACCTATTGTATTTATTTACTTAATGGTATAAATAAATCTCTTGAATCGACCTCAGCAAGGCATTTGATGTTTGTCATACCAAATTATTAAGTACCGGTATTCTTTCAAATTTTGGAATAAAAAATAAAGCTTATGATTGGATCAACTCTTATTTATGTAATCGAACTACTTTTGTTGAACTGAAATACGTAAACAAGTATAATCAACTTATATCTTGCCGTTCCGCAGTAACAGTCCGTTGAAATATGGAGTACCACAAGGATCTATATTGGGACCTTTATTCTTTTTATGTTACATCAATAGCTTAGCTAATTTCCGTGATCAAAGTAAAATCACTTTATATGCAGATGATTTAAATATAAAACTATCCGGATACCATGCAAATGATATAGAAATATCTTCTTTTATAAAACTTAATGCAATCCAACAACATTTAGCTGATCTAAACATTTTATTAAATAAACAAAAAACTAAATATATTAATTTTTCCGCTTCAAATAGGAAAAGTGGGTCTGTGGTGAAGAATGTTTGTCTTAATGATTCCTTTATTGATGAAGTTAAGGAAACAAAATTCCTTCGTTTAACTGTTGATAGACTTCTTAGCTGGAACACTCATGTATCTCAAGTTTGTAAAAAAATGCCAACAGGTATTTTCATCCTTAGAAAATTATCACCATTTTGTGATATTAAAACCCTTAAAGCAGTTTATTTTGCTTTTGTGCACTCTCATGTCTCTTTTGGTTTGTCGGTTTATGGTAACACCTCTAATGAAAATTTAAACATGATACTTATATTACAAAAAAAAAAGCAATAAGAATAATAATGAAACTTAAGTGGTTTGAGTCAGCCAGATAACATTTTTCAAATTTTGGAATAATGACAGTTTATAGCCAATTAATCTATGATCTGATTCTGTGGATTAAAAAAAATCAAAATAGTCATTGTATGCTAGGTTTTAACCACAGATATGAAACTAGAAATAAGAATAATTTTTGTTTTAATAGACATAAGCTAACGTTTTATGAGAAGAAGCCAACATATTCAGGCATCAAATTTTATAATTCATTACCAGAAAACATAAAATGTATTACTGATTTTGGGTCGTTCAAAAAGAAATTGAAGTCATTTATTATTGTTAAACCTTTGCGCAGTTTTAATGAATTTTTAAAGCACATGTTGTCTGTAACAGTTAATTTAATTTAATTTCATACCGTGATTATAATTTTAATTTATTATTGTATTATATATACTTGTACTTACTAGTTTATAATAGTACTTGTTGACGCCATTCTGTACTCTATGTGTACATAATGAATAAAGAAAATTTTGATTTGATTTGATCATTTGATTTTATATATTTTAAGCATGGTTCTTTGACGTTACCTATTGAAATTAATTACTGAATGGCATAATAAATCTTTGAATCTTGTCTCATTGTAAAAAATACATAGGCTATTTATGATTTTGGTAGAACTTATCAGTGGATGAACATTTTAATAATTTATTTATTCCTAAGAAATATACAGGAATGTAATAGTCATACCGTGTGTTTGTGCTACATTTCCACAAAATGAAATAACGAATTGGGCAGCTGGACGGCACATTAAAATTTCAGTACCTTCACAATTCAATGTAATGGATGTGATTTTTTCAACTAGATGGGAGGCCTCTTTTGTGGGCAGGGTAGGGGCTGGCCACCTCAGGTACTCTAGCGAGCACCCTGATCCCTCCTATTCCTCGTTCTGGGCTCTATGAATGACCAGCATATGTTTTTCCTTTGCCCATACATTTTTCTTATTAGCTTTCCTACTTTTCTTCCCCTCTCCCTTGTTCCCTTCTGTTTCAGTGAACCTCAGGGGATTGGCTTCCCAGCTGTATAAAATTGGATCGTTTTTTCAGCCTCTCTCATCAGTTGAGTTAACCCAAGCAAGTACAGTAAGCTTAGGTTGACATGTCAGGATGGGTTTGTGATGGGGTACAAAATGACAATATCTTTCAACTTGCAAGTAGTAACTTCCCAATTACAATTTTCTATGAATTAATTAATTATAGTGACATATTTTTAAAACCGTGCATGGAAAGGTACACAAATAAAATGGATGGACAAAACGAGAAATGTTTAATGTAGTAGATTTCAAAATTTATTTGTAAAAATCCCATTATTTGAAGTTTCTGAACAAAAATCGTTTTGGGCTGTTTAACAGAGCTTTTTGCCTTACTGACAAAAATATTTGATAATGCACAAATAAACTCATAGAATTTTGAGAGCTTAGTAAATTCTTCCCATGTTCTTGTTCTTAGGTTAGTGGCTAGTGGAAGGAGGAATGTATTTATTCATGAATTTTCATCTATTTTATCAGTAAGGTATAAACCTGATGTTAAACCTGTCCATTAATTACCATATCCTTAATATTTTTTAGTAGGTGAGTCAGTCACGATAAAAAATCCAGGATGTAAGTAGTCGCTAGACCACTGTTCTAAAGAAAGAGCATACCAGGCCTAATACTCAACATATACCGGTACTTTTGAGATGGTAGCAGTTTGTTTTTTAATTTTAAAAGTAATTTTATATGTACCATATTTATACTAGTCCAGTGATGGCTCACAGATTTTCCCATTGACTCTATGTAACCCATACTTTCTTTACAAAAATTTTGGCTAAGCTATTAATGATAATGGGAGGGGGATTCAACAGCTGCACCAATTCAGTTTTTTGGACAAAAAAAGAGGCAGTCACATTTTGATCCCTGATTGTATACAACCTGTCAATTTTGTCCTAAATATCACTGGAGACAAAGGTGTTTACTTTTGAATACCCTGGCCAGTTCTATGACCTCTCCCCTGCAATGTGAGATCTCTGGGGGTTACGAATTACCACCACTTCTTTTAGTTTGCATTTGTAAGTTATGAAAAAGTAAAGCTTGAACAATTGATTTCCAATGAAATGCCAATATAGAAAACTCTAACACTTTCAATAGTACTCATAGTTTGTAGTCAAGGCAAAAAAAAAACAAATTTTAATAAAAATAACTACACATTTTCAAAGGATCAAAAGGAACAAGAATAACATTTAACAAACAAATGTATATTTGGAATAATTACAATTTTATACAATATATACATTTAAACTCAATAGAAAGAAAGAAGAAAGAAAGAAGAAAGAAAAAGCGCTTTATTTCCAAAATACCCAGTGCACAATAATTCGTCCCACGCAGGGGACGTGCCTACGCGCTACAGCAATGACCTTTCGGTCGTCTGCCGGGTTGGCACGTCTAAAACTAAATCAAAACAATTATTGGGTTCCTTTAAAATAAAATTATAAATCTTTCCTTAAACTAACAATTATGGCCATTATTTTAAAGTAAAGAAATATAATACAATCCAACCAGTTTCTCTAGTTATATCGGTTTTTTTTTTTTTTTTTTTAGAAGTTTGGAAGAGTACGATATTTAAATTTTTTATGATATTTTTTCCTCAATTGTTAAATTCTTGTATTAAAATCCACCTGTATTGCCAGGCGTTTTTTAAATAATTTACTAACGCTCGCCAATCCCTGCCATTTAAAAAACTAATATAATCCCGTTCAGAAAGGACTCTATTGTGTAAAAATGTTAATCTAAGATTACTTAAAATTGGACAAATAGCGATGAAATGAAATGTGGTTTCAATTTCACCCATATTACAAAGAGAACAGAACTTATTTCCCGTTGACCAAGGTTTACCATTCAAATAGAGCAGCTCTGCCCTAGCCTTAATTATCCAGGAAACGAAGCTGACATCGGCGTTATCAGTAAGGTAGCTTTTATCGCCAAGTTCAAGGCCAAGGTCGAGGCTGATCAGCTGACTGTGGTGAATGGACGTGCGTGCGCGCCCTATACACTCTCCTATCCATACGTCACTCAGCTTTTCCACCACCGTCAGACATCTCGATTTTACCGCCTCTGATCCAAAATCTACATCAACCCCTACCTTCTCACCTAGCATCTTCCACTGTCTGCACCAATCTAAGTTTTGGTTTATAATTTGTTTGGCTAGAATCAAAGGAAGTCTATTATCGGGGAAATGTAGTACTTTTAATAGGTAATTTAAATTCGTAATCATATTATAAAAAAACAATTTTTTAAATCCACTTTCTAAATAAATCACATAGTTTGGCGTGTTATAAGGCAATCGGAAGAGTCTCTTTAAAAACAATTTTTGAACGGATTCTAGGAATTCAGATTCGAAGCAACCCCATACCTGAGCCCCATAACTAACAATTGATTTTATGACGGAATTAAACACATAATTTTAGATGATAAAGGCACAGATTTATTATTGATTAAGTTATTCCACACCGAGTTAATTGCTAATTTTGCTTGCCTCGCTTTATCTTTAAAATGTGATTGCCAAGATAACGTCGCTGTGAATAACACTCCGAGGTATTTATAGCTGTTTACTACTTCTACACGTTTCCCATTGAACCACCATTTATCTGACGAGGCCAATCTACCCCCATTTCTGAAAACAATTATTTTTGATTTTTCAAGATTAACTCTCAAATTCCATGTTTCACAATAAGTTTCTAAATTTCTTATCATAAGTTGTAAGCAGGTGGACGTAGGCGCTAACAACACAACGTCGTCGGCATATAAAAGAATGTTTATCCTAGTCCCTCCAAAATTACAGCCGCCACCAAGTGCCTCAGGGAGATCATTAATAAATAAAGTGAACATTAAAGGACTCGCAGAACATCCTTGCCTAAGACCTGTCGAAGTTTCAAAATTTGCTGTCACACTGTCTCCACACCACACACCCGCTCTAGTACCATCATAATAGTTCTTAAAAATATTTAAAAATTTTGTTGAAACACCTATACAGGATAACTTAAACAGTAGCGACTTCCTATCAATAGTATCGAATGCTGCCGAGAAGTCAACAAAGAAAGCATATAGCTTACCTCCGGTCCTTGCCAGCCTTAGGCGCACAATCGCATTTAGGTTAAAGATATTGTCGATGGTTGAATAACCTCTCCTAAATCCCGCCTGAAACTCACTTATTAACTGCCTATCACTAGCCCAATTACTTAACCTTGAATCTAAAATGTTTATAAAAATCTTAGCTACACAGTTGATAAAGGACAACCCTCTATAATTTTTGACGTCATTAATGTTGCCTTTTTTATGTAAAGGAAAAATAATAGACTCCTTGAAAGTTTGTGGGACATTGCCACTCTCAAAAATACTATTATAAATATAAATAAGACCATTAAGTAATGCATCCGGTGCGTTTTTAAAAAACTCATATGGCACCCTGTCAATGCCAGGTGCTTTGCCATTTTTTACCCTTAACAACACAGCTTTTAATTCATCTAGTGAAATATTTGCATCGAGGTATTCGTCACAAACTACTGGCTGTGCATACGAAACAGTAGATACTAACAAGGGTGGATTTAATAAACTCTTAAAATGCTTCGTCCAATCCTGTATCGCAATTTTACCAATTTGGTTTGGAATTTTACATTTGAAAGAATTTATTGCACTCCAATTTATTGCAATGTGAGATCTCTGGGGGTTACGAATTACCACCACTTCTTTTAGTTTGCATTTGTAAGTTATGAAAAAGTAAAGCTTGAACAATTGATTTCCAATGAAATGCCAATATAGAAAACTCTAACACTTTCAATAGTACTCATAGTTTGTAGTCAAGGCAAAAAAAAAACAAATTTTAATAAAAATAACTACACATTTTCAAAGGATCAAAAGGAACAAGAATAACATTTAACAAACAAATGTATATTTGGAATAATTACAATTTTATACAATATATACATTTAAACTCAATAAAACAATAACTAAAAAATAAAATTTTTATAATAGCAAGGCAACAAAAATAAAAAATAAACTCTAAAATTACAGGACGTGATGGAAGATTTAATGATTGTGCATGAAAAGAATATAAGAATTTTAGAAAGTCATTCGGTTATTTCAATGGTGAATACATCTCTCATCAAATCACAAAAGGGCAGCAATTCTGAAAATAGAAAACATAAAATATTATGTTTAAATGAACACAAAAACAATTTTTCGGTAAGTTCGCTTACACTAATCAATGGGAATGGGCACACGGGAGGGACTTAGGCTAAAGGTGTAGTGACGTCATATCTCTAGTGGCTAATGTCTTCTATTGAGGCAACACGATTACCGTAACGAGACGATGTGATTTCAGCGGAGTTCGTGGCGTAGTTGAGAGTGTTTCTGATTGGTGTTCAGGAGGTCCCGGGTTTGAAACCAGCCGGGGAAATTAACTTTTTGTCAGCGATTTTTGCTTAGAATGCGAACACTTCTTAACTGTACATCTTTTGTTAGAATTTGATGCATTTATAATTTTATTTATGAACAGAACTTTTTTTAAATATTGAACCTTTATTCGATTTTTATCTTATATCTTTTTTATAGTATCAGCAAGTTTGGTTGGTTAGGTTAGGTTATGACAGTTTAATTTTATAATAGGCCTACTAAATTTTAAAATTAATTTATAATTAAAAATTATAAGTGATCATTAATTAGATTTTTATCTTTAGTTTTTATATTTATCAACAATCTGGTTGGTTAGGTTATGTTATGACAGTTAAATTTTAAAAATTAAAAATTTATTTTATAATTAAAAAAAATTTATAATTAAAAAGTTAATTTTATAACTAAAAATTTAAAAAAAATTAATTTAAATTTTTCAACTTAACGGTTCTAGCGGCGAACTCTGACACTACAAGATATGTTAGCCTTAGTCCCTCCCGTATGCCCCACCGCTAATCAATGTGCGTGAGAAGTTTAATGAGTTTGTAGGAAGTCGTTCATATTAGTACAAGGCCAACCATCAGTTTTGGACGAAAACAGGACAAAAGGTATGGACATTTTGCTGATCAATGTCATATGAGCAGTTTTGTCACAGCAGATAAAATGCTCACGTTGATCAAAAACTTGGTTATTTTACCAGTGGAAAAACGCCGTGGCAATTGTTGGTGGAGCTGTTATACGAGCAGCATAAACGCCGCGATGAGTGCCGAATGCGCAAGGGTAGTGTGTGGTGAGGGTGAGGTAGCAGATATGCCGCGTTAATGCTGCCCGTATAACAGCAACTTAGGTCACTGGCGACTTTTCTGATGCGTATTTGCTGCCAGGTCCGGACGAGTTGTTAACGCTCGCGCTGAATTTACAGGATTCGACGCAACAGATACGCTAGTATTACTTGCACACAAGGAAGACTGTTGCCTGGTAGGCTTGACTTATATGTGATGTAAAAACTGCTGCCACAAAGCTGCCCGTATAACATGGCCCTTAGTCTTGTCCACAGAAATTTGAGAGATATACCCAATTGGAAGTCACTTGCAAAATGTCCTTAAGTTTTGTTACTTAACACGTTCGCTACAGACGTTCCGGAACATCAGCGGGGCCACGGCGCCAGGAGCTAGAAACGTTCCGGAACGTCACCGTTCATTGTTGTTTAACGTTTACATGGATCAGCCAGCTCGTCACGAGTGTCCTATATTTCTTTGCAGCTCGTGGGGACGTACTTTTCTGACAATAAAAAATATAGTTCCCCAAAATCACCACCAGGGTCGTATAGAAAGGGATTTGTCCCACCTCTTTCCTGCTTGATAGCGACACTACTTTACCGACTGCAACCTGGGTAGTGCTGCTATCTATCAGAATCCCTTGGTACTATGTCCAAAGCCAGTTTTATTGCAGAACATTGCTATGCAGTATAACTACTGTTGTTTTTACTGCAATTCAGTGTATGAGCGGCAATGTTAGGCAGCGGCGAGCGCTAGTTCAGCTCCTGGCGCCGTCCCAGCATCTAGTACTCAGCAGCGAACGTGTTTAACTAATTGACGCACAAATTCGGCCTTGTTGTGCAAACCTACAGCCTTTTCTGAACCTCTATATTACTCATACATTTTTATCAACCCTACACTTCAATTGACACCTTAAATCAGAGAAAGAACACATCATGCATGATTTTTACTACAGTAGACTCTCTTATCCGGACACCTTTTAACCGGACTACACTCGGCGGAAATGACATCTCTATAACCCGACAATTTTTATCAGCAGATTGGTTTAACCGGACTAGTTCAGCAGGAAGTGGGCGGTACTGAAACAACTGTTCACGTGGGAAAGATTTTGAGACCAGTGATCTTGTGTCTAAATATAATGCTCTCCTAAATTTAAGTCAAATATTTGGGTTACGTAACAAGTTTTTGGGGACATCGGTTTAACCGGAAACCCCGTTATCCGGACTGGCCTCGGTCCCGAGGAGTCCGGATAAGAGGGAGTCTACTGTACCTATCTTTATCGTGATGGGCGTTTGTTGAGACCTTTAAGAACAGTGTTAGTGCCTTATGTATTGGATGCAATGGAGTTTCTTACCTTATCACAAATACATGATTTTTATATCTTCATTTTCACTCAAGTTCTTACTCAAACCATAATCAATGATTATTTTTTCTCTTCTTCCAAAGACATTGGAATTTATCACTTTCCTGGGGCACAAATTTGTGTTTTTAAGATGTATGATTTCTTTATGACAAAAGAGTGTCTTTTGAAAACGACCATCTGATCCCTAAATACACTTCAATTATCAACACCTGACACATATAGGACTCCTTTTTACCTTTACAATTTGTTAGTTTATTCAAATTATTTTAATGCCTGAAAATGTTATTCCTCTTGGATCTTTCCCACTCCAGTAGTTCATTAAGTTTATTTTTCCGTGTAACTTCCGATCTTGATTTTTGTGAGTAAAACTGTCATTAATACTCCACTTCTTTCTTGATGATTATTGGTTCTTCTTTAACTACTATTGATTGCAATTCGTAAGGCATTTCTTTGGTATTTATAGTTTCTGATCTGTAAATAGATTAATAATTAGTGAGGCTTTAAAATTTATATTTTACAGTAAAATTGTTATTTTAAGATACTGAACAGTATAAATTCTAATAAATGAAACGGGTATAAAATAAATGTTTATTGAACCTTGGATGGCTCAATATGAAATAACTAATCAGAACGGATACAGTAAAATATTATTAATCTTAAGTGATTAAGGGCTCCAACTTATACTGAAGCACATTATTATGCTTAACACTTGTATAAACCGCTGTCAAAAGGCTAACAGATTAAGCTAAATCCATAATAATGACTCAAAATTATATAATTTTACTTAACCTAAGATGTTGTAAAAATTCCAAAATCTTTAATCTAGGCTATTATCACTATATAAACATATTTTGTGAAGAATATTGTTAAATTATTTTTTACAAGGAATTCGGATAATTAAAACGATCGGATCAAGGGTATACTAAAAAACCTACTCTTGAACAAACTGATGATTTCTTTTACAAAAGATATTGGAAGTTGGATTGACTATGAATACTGCTATTAAGTAGGTTGACATTTTTATAATTCAAATATTTTACAATTGAAATTTTTTTTCAAAGCTTTTTACCGAACAATTCAGAAACGCAACTGCTTTTTTAATCTCATTGTGTTTTTGGTAAAAACCGAATCATATTGGAATACCAAAGTAATTTTACATAGTCCAGTAATGTTCCACTTTTATCAACAAATATCGTTTCTAGAAACATTTACTGAACCATACCTGCAACTTTGATCAGTCACCATGTTGACCTTATGGACGTCACATGACATTGTGGTCTCGTCCCATAGCATCCAAGAAGGTTGTAGTCCTGGTTTTGTGTACGGATGGTCCATTTCTGCGTAATACAGCATCATGTGTTTCTATGACAAACATTTTGTTAGGAACCAATTCCTTCTAACCTTTGAACTCTCTTATCGTGTGCCCACCACACACACACTCACCGCAGCTCAGGCACAGTCCACTGCGATCATTGCGATCACATCAAGCATTACGCTACCCGCAGTAATTTTAAAACGATAATACTATTAACTTTTATTTGCCCTGGTAAAGATTTTAATTTTTTTTGTATCGAAAGGTATCTTTATTTTTCTGAGGATTTATGAGAAAGATATTTTAGTTGCGTTCTATAAACTTTTAATAAGTGACAGTCAGTGATAGTGTACAATACAGTACTGCACAGGATATAGACGCCATCACGGCTGACCAACGGCAACAGCATTGAAGATGGGGTACCCCAGCCAGACGTCGCCGATCTACACCTCCACAATACCAACGAAGGTCGGTGCAAGTATTTTTCTCTCTCGAAAACAATTAAAATCATTCAGTATAAATCATATTTCTAGTTGACATATATTTCATATTTACTATCTCAAAAAAACAATAATTAGTTTTTTGTTACAACTCAATCTCGATTGATTAACATACAATACAACACATTTATTCCTCTTTATTATTATTATACAAACGTATTATTATACGTCATTCAACCTTAATGCACAGTCCAACCTTGGTATAACGAATCTGAACGGGCAGAACTAAATTTTTGTTATATCAGAAATCATAAATCTTTATTCACCATAAATCATATTACATGAAATAGGCTTCGTCATACAATATAGGCTAAATCTATCACAATACTAAGGAAAAGAAAATCTACACATATAACAATCAAAAACCTATATACAGTAGAGTCCCACAAACACGGCACTCGATAACCCCGCAGTCTGGATAACTCGGCCATTACCTGGCTCGGAAAATTAGTGATTTTTTGAGTCCGAATTCAACATGGACTCAAGCCAGCTCAAGTCAAATCATTCGCAACTCGTAAAAAGGATTTGTTGTACTATATCTGATGACTTGTATTATAAATATAAAAAAGAAGGCAGGTAAAAGGCTTAAAAATTTTATTGTTCTTATTTTTAACCCTAGTTCCTGATAACCCAGCATTTCACAAACTCGGCACCCTTCCAGTCCACATTATGCCGAGTTTGCGGGACTCTACTGTAATACTACTGACAATAACAACAACATTTCTTGGTCAATTCTGTCTACTCTTCTATCAAGGATTTCATTAAAACGAGGTTCGTTGCATTTAGGTTAGGTTTTCAAGAAATTTTGCTGTTCAGTAGAGGTAAAAAAACAGCATCGGTCAATATAGGTTGAGATTTGACCTCATTAAAACACAATTAAGAAGCATAGGCTACAATACTTTACAGTACAGTATTGACAATTATAGAACCTTCATTATCCGAGGTAATAAGGTGGAGGTAGACTACGGATAGTGAAAACCACGGTTATCCAACATGGTATGAAAAAGATAGCAAACCCATAAAACACTAATACTGTGTAAAAAAAACCATTTATGTCACAATTTAAAATTTGTATCAACAAAATAAAACATTAAACAATCATATTGCGCAACCATGACATTTCGAGGCATTGGCCTTGGGCATTGGTTCAGTTTACAAACTGTGAAATTTAATAAAATCACAGCTTACCTAAAATCACCAAACACTGTATAGAGCAATAAATCACAATCACTTAAGAACAAAACAGTAGAGAGTTTTGTAAGCTTCTGCTCAAGATAGGCTACCGTACTGCTTTATCACAACAATAGTATGTCAATAATAAAAATCAACTATAGCATTGGTGTTGCCTTAGTTGAAACAAATTGTATTGAAAATAATAAAAATATAAGATAAGTGATCATAAAAATGTATAATCATTTAAAGATAATAAAAACACTCGTAAAAGATGTTGCTATTCTTTCTCTTTGTTCTTCTGTTCTCTCTTAAGTTTCCCTTAATATAAAAATTCAACAAGTCACCATAGTTACCTATCACCCAATCCCAGTTTACTAAGCATTACGTCGTCATCAATCCTTAGTGAATGAAATCAGTTGGGACATGGCGCACAGCAGACAGATGTGTAAAAAAAGAGCAGACGAATGTTAGAGCAAGTGTTGACGTCACCATTCTATTTAATTTTTATCAAGAAACTATGATGTTTCAAAAACAGTAATGTGGGGGAAGGTTCGTTATATCAAGGGAAAGACGTAGAGAATTTGTTAAGTAGAGGTTACATTTGCTATGTAGAGGTTCTGGCAATGATAAATTCGTTATATTGAGGTGTCTTATTTTAGCCCGGATCATCGAAAAATTTGTTAAATAAAGGTTGTTGATATGGTTTGTTCGTTATGTAGAGTTAAAATATTCATTGTGTCTTATGGAGAGTTCTAGGGGATTTAAAAAAAATTGTTATGAATGTAGAACCTCGCTAATTCGAATTTCAGAGGAAACGCAAAGTTTCTAACCATGGGAAGTTTGAAATTTAGAGAGTTTGATTTATAGAGGTCAGATAAATAAAATTTGAATTATGGAGGTCCCAGTTAAAAGCGTAGAGAGTTTGAGGGACCGGAGACTAATGAACACATCGTGGAAACATCAATAAGAGCGTCAGTTCATGTTTCAACAGGCATATTTTTGTCCTGAATTCAAATTACAGAGGCTTACTATACGGTAACGCAGTTGAATTGTAGAAGAGGTTGACTTTGAATTTGGAGGTAAAATTTCGAGGGCAACAAAATTTGAATTGTAGAGGCTCAAGTACCTCGAGTATGTGCAAATTCGAATTGTAGAGACTCAGTAAGAGTAAAAATCACTTTGAATTATTGGTATATTATTTATTGAATTTTAGAACTTTTCTGAGCAGAACAGACAAATATTTATAATTATAGAGGTTCGAATTAGCGAGGTTCTACTCTATCAAGGAATTCGTTATATCGAGGTTCGTTATATCAAGGTTAGAATGTATTCCTAAGCCAAATGCTTTTTCTTCCAAAAAACAAAAAGAAATCGTTTTTTGTTTCCGCACCAAAAATCAGAAATTAAATCAAAATATCGTCCCGAACTAAAGGTAAAATCCCGTCCATTCCTATTTGTCAAGATAAAAAAAAACTAAATTACAATGTACCTTGCTTTCATCTGCGGACAATGTATCAGAATCAGATGTCGCTGAGTTGTGCCATTCATTGAAAGACAATTTCTCATCATCTTCTTTTTTTACAGCTATGGATTTTTTTTCTCCACATGTACACTTTCTCCTAGAAGTAAAATTAACATCTATATTATATGATACAAAATTATTCAATTCAGTAGTAATTAATGTAATACTGGTAACTTTTTATGAGTGTAGGAGTTTTGCCAACGGGTATCAGGTAGAAAGGGTCCCCATCCATGAATTCCACATACTGCGGAGTTTTGCCAACGGTTGTGGGTTGAGCGAGAGCGATTACACGTGACCGTGAGAGTGGCTTCCGCTAGGGGTGGACAAACCAGGCAGGATGCTGACTGTATTCAAAGTAATGGAGTTATTCATCTCTGACTGTGAAAGGAAATGTATTGAATTTTTAACCTAACCTAACCCACTGCGACAAGCGCATAACTGCCAAGCGTAGACAACCCTGACAATCGCTCTCCCTCCCTCCGTCACACTCTTTCTCCCACCACCACCGTTGACAAATCTCCGCACCAAGAGGTGGCCGAAGGCATCCCCCCATCTACCTGACACCCGTTGGCAAAACTCAGGTTCCCACTTTGTATCAGTTAAATTGTCAGTCAGTGGCTCGGTTGGTAGCACCACAAACTTCGGGCCCGAGGCAGCGATGTCGTGGGTTCGGATCCTAGTACATGTCACTATTTTTTATCAGTACATCCACTTTTTGTACTGTACAGGCTCAACCCTTGCTTTGCTGAATATGTTCACGAACAAGCCTTTGTAGTCCATGTGGACGGGCAATAGCAAAGTAAAGGCTGCCAACCTTTGCTTACTTGATCGGTAAAGATGTATGTAAATAAATTGGGAGTGTTGCTCGACATCCAAACGCTACGACGTCCAATAATAAGTCAGTGGCACAACATCCAAAATATAATTTTTGACCTGTCTCACAACATCCAAATCTCGTTAAGTTCAAAGTACAGTAATTACAAGAAACATAGTCTTTCTACAAGCTTTGGACCTCATGGAATTGGTCTTCATGCTACAGCACACTTTATATCCTTACAAACTTAACAGTAGCACCACGTTCTAAAGCCGCTACCAGTTGCACAACGTCCAATAGTTCAGAGCTGCCGCAAGACGTCCAAAGCTCCTCCATACAGCGCTCGGTTAGGTTAGTATGCAATACAGTCGGTAAAACAGTATTCACAGTGTCTTGACGCTCAGGACGTCTTGGGACAGCGCTGAGCTATTAACCGTGGTTTAACTGCTACTTTTTAAAGTGTAATGTGCTATTTCAAGACGACCAATCTCATGACGTTCTGAGGTTATAGAAAGACTATGCTTATTGCAGTTACTGTACTTTTGGACATGATGAAATTTGGACCTCGTGCAACAGTCAAATGTTTATATTTGACGTTATGTGGCTCAAGAATTATATTTTGGACGTTGTGACACTGACTTATCATTGCACCTCGGGACGCATGGTTGTCGTGCAATGCATCCAGTAAATTTTCTAACAAATTTATAATGCTTCAGTTGTAACTATTCGAGCTTGGATTTTAGCATGGAGCTGCCATAACCATAAGTTTCTGGCCCAGAAACCTGTTTCCTCTTGTAGCATATTCTATAGATAGGTTTTAAAGATTTTCACATTTTATTACACTTACCTTTGGGTTGTACCTTCCAATGGATCTAACGTTTTCTTTCGACTTTGACCTTTGTCTCTGTAAACAAGAAAATAAACAATTCATCGACAAAATATTGAAAATAATTTTGTTTATTAAGAGTTGTAATGTAAATGCAAAAGTATGAAAAAATCTGATTAAAGGTAAGATGAACTAATGAAAATTTTACAAGACCAAACCTCACATACCTTGGACTTCTATGGGATGAGTTTCGAGGTGTTGTCTTCAGTGTCTGCCAGCGAGCGAGGTCCGTAACATTAAGCATTAAAGCCATACCCCCCATCTCCGGGTGATAGTGCTTCATGTGCATCTGCAATACAAACAATTGTTTTGTTAAGCAAGCGTACTGAGTTCAAATTCTAGCAACAAATTGTCTCATCTTTGGTAAAAATTTTTTTCTCTAAAGGATTTTTGTCCATCTTCATACCTAAAATTATTTAGTATAGGGTGTCTACAGCAGAGTCACAAAAAATCTGGATGGAAATTTTCTGCGACCAAGCAATTTGTATGGGTAGTTTATGAGTAAAATGTAAATATTATCCATGCTACGGCAGCAGATTTGGTAATATTTCATATTTGCCAAAGCCACAGTAATGTATAATACCCCCGCCGCAGCAAACCTGCCGACTAAGCAAATTTCCATTAAATAAATTATATAACTTATTCTCAATTAACTGAATATGCTTTATTCTCAAACCAAACTTACTTGATACAGGTATTCTTTTCTGAACACTTTTCCACAGCAGGTGTTGACAGCATCAGAAGATCCAGGTACTGTAGCAAAGCAATCAAAATTCAGGACCATGAGGTAAGTTAAATGCATTTAAAATTAATAGTATATTTTATCACTAGCGCGTAAGTAACTCTTTTTGACCAGAGCTAAAGATTCACGACCGTGGTGGTTGTAAAATGAGCAAGGGTTAAAAAGACACTTTTTGCCCTGTCATTCTATTTTTTGTCATATTGCACCATTATTTAAGAGTCCTTGGAGACTAGCGGCCATCTTGGATGGTTTCAAACAGCTGCTGAATGCTGAAGAGTTATTTATCTTCCAAAAATTTTATGAACACCAAAGTGATTATAATTTTAATATCTAGTAGGGTTGTGCGAAGCAGCAAAAGATTTTAGATTCAAATTGATACAACTCGAGTGAATGGAGTGAAATAACAATAGTCTAAATAAAATTTACAACATTTGTGTAATGCAAATTTTTGTTGATGTGGTATTAGGCCTATTCATATGAATTTTATATTTTCATGAATATATAATATGAATATAATACTAATATGTATACTAATATGAATATAATATAATGAAATATGACTTATTCAATTTTGTAATATCTCTAAAAGAGAGCTCTATTTGCTTAATAGTCTTTAGAAAATGTTTACTTTTCAGTTTCCCATACCGTGCTTTATTTTCTAAATAAGGACAAATATTTATTTCCTTAATAATAGCTAATTCTGATGTGCCATAAAAAATTACTTTTCATGAGAATCAATAAAAGCAGGCCAGTGAGAATAACCCCTTACTTTAAGTATGTACTTAAGTATGTACTTTAAGTAAGTACTTTAAGTAAGTACTTAAATACCTGTAAGATTATTTTGTTGTTTATGTTAAGACTTGGTTTGAAAACTGCAAATAGACTTTGTCAATGATATGTAAATGTATCCTTAGGCTAGGCGCACACGAGCGATTATTTTGAGGCGACTATTTCATCGGCCGATCTGTGCATCATGTATTTGAATGGAAGCGCGCACACAGGCGATCGAGAACTGCGCCGATTTAAAAATCTGAGTTTTGCCCCAGATACGTTGGCGAGGCGATTGTCACCCGAAAATCTGTAACGTACAGATTGTTATCAGTCCGCGCACACGGTCGACTAAAAAATCGGCCAGTCGTTTTTTGTTCTCCACAGGAGTCAGTGAACTTAAGTGTGAGTTGTGTTGTTTTCTTTGCTAAAAAAGGCCACAGCTGTTATAATAAAAACTGAAACTTTTAACAGACATTCTATAGTAATTAAAGAACTTTTTACTGTCACTTTTTTCTGTCAACTTTTTTCACGTAAAGTGTATAGTTTATAAAACTGTCGATTTAAAAGTCTCTGACTTACTATCGGATGAACCCAATTTTATTTATTTATTTATTTAACAATATCTAAGTTGTCTTCTTTTTTTCTTTGATCTAATTAGAAGAGCACAAACACAGGTTAATTCAACAAAGTCCATTCGAGGATAGCTTAAACGCACTAAAAAAAACCCATTTCTCGACTAAAAAATCGCCACGTTTGCGCCTAGACATAAATCAAGGGCGATTTATTTTTGGCAGATTTTTTAATCGGCCGATCGAAAATCGACCGTGTGCGCCAGGCCTTATGGCAAATAAAGATGGATTGATTGGATGTTAATTTCATTGATTTTACACAGCCACTGAAGAGTTATTTACCATCCAAAAATACTTTTTCACCACACTATGATGTTTTTGGCTGTATTACATATGTTAATTGGTGGCTGAAAGTTACGTTTTGCTGGCCATGCCAGCTGTCATCGTAATTTGGGGACCGAGCAGGTTTTTACAGGCCCCAATACACAATCAAAATCCATAGCATTGCAATAGAATTGTGTTAGCCTATTGTCGCCTATTTTTGCTGATTCCTCAAATTATTTCTTCACATAACCTTAAAGTTGTAGTTGTGTTGACTATCAGTGTGCCATTATTATTGTGGTGAATAGTGGTAATAGGGTATAGTGTGGTGAAAAATAGCGTTCGTACCACAGACCGAAATGGTTTTGCAGCTCTTGATCGATTTAAGTTCTCGACTTCGTCTCAAACTTAAAAACTATCTTGAGCCGGCAAAACCTCATTTTCGGCTCTAGGTACGAAATATACTATTTCAAACACCATAGTGATTGTAATTTAAATATCTAGTAGCCTATACTGTGAGATTAGAGATTATCTTTGTAGTTCTTTAATTGTTTTATGAATTAGCCCGTCTAGGCTCCAAGGACTCTTAAGCAAACTAAATTACAAAGCGAAAATACTTTTAATATAAAAGGTTTATTTACCTGTTGCGTCGATTGATCCTTAAGTTATAAAATAACTACGACCTGCTAAGCGAGCACATTTTCATGTTGTGAACCTGAAGATGTGCTGGCTTAGCAGCACGAAACGGCTATAGTTATTTTATAACTTAAGGATCAATCGACGCAACAGGTAAATTAAACCTTTTATATTTGCATTATCTTGATCCAGAGGCTAACCCATAATGAAATACTTTTAATCTGAAGGTAATCTTAATCAAAATTGGAATTAATACTTGCAAGAGCTTACCTAAAGGGGATTTTTCAAATGGCTGATCAACAGTTATGCTCGTTATTTTTCCAACCTCCTCATCCTCATCCTCACTCGTCTGGTCTCTAGCCTGCCCTGAAAAATCCAACTGAACCTTTCTGATTCTGAGTTGGCTTATTTTTGTTTGATTTTGCACTTTCGGCTCAACCTTTTTTATCAATTTCCGTTTTCTAACAGGACGTTTTGAACATTTAGCTTCCTTCTCGTCCTTGGATATCACTTTAAAACTCACTTTATTTTCAACATTAGTCTTATTCTCCTCAAAAGTTTTTATCATTTTGTTTCTTTGAGGCTGCACCTGCCCAACCTTTCTTTTGAATCTTTTCCGAACGTCATTCTGACCTTGAAGATTAAGTCCAATCATTGTTACCAGTTTCCTTTTTCGATCAGTCCGACCAGGTAAATTCTGCCCGGTCTTCTTTCTCCGCCTTAGGTTATGTGGAACCGTCTGTCCTGTTTGCCTACCTGATGTGTACTCTAGGGCCAGGCTTTCCTCATCACTTGGTTTAATAACGCCATCCATCTGAGAACGAATCATCAATGTCTTCTGACCGACCATAAAGTCAAAGGTGTCTTCAGGGAACGGAATCTTCAAATCTGCAAAGTAATGGTACAGCTCGGTGAAGCATCGGAATTTTCGGCCTTCTTTGCTGCAAACACACAAAAAATAATTTGAATAATTTTTACCCTGTGGATAAACAAAAAGGTTAAATTAAATTACTATAGTTTGGCCGCTTAGAAAGCGACCTTCAGCATTGGTTTAGCATTAGCGCGCAGGTCGTTTTCTAAGAGGCCGAACTATAGTAATAGTATAGCCTCCTCTAAAACAAGGTTGGTGTGTGGCAACATTGCACAGACCAGCCTGTTACCATGGTAATAATAATAACTAGGTGAACCCGCGCGAATTCGCACGAATAATAAATTAGGATATTATAGCAACGTCGTTAGAAGTTGCGTCGTTGTATCGACGTTGGTCTTGAGCTCGATCGTTGGCTATATGCATTCCAAGTTCTTTTTGCTGTTCAGTAGGAGTATTTTGCAGGACGGAGCTCATCATGCTGAAAACTTGCTCGTATGGATCAATATCAACCAAATGTTGTGTCAAAATGTGCATGAGTTCAGTGCTGCAAGAGCCATTAGCTTTGTTTAGAATTCTTTCTTGAACAGCGGTTTCGACGTCGTAGATATAAATTTGGGCATATGTGGGATGCTCCGCTTCTGACGGTTGAAAGGTGCCAATTGAGTGATAAATTGTGTCGTGCACCTTATACATGAAAGGCCCTCCACCGTTATGTTCTTTAATTTTAGCTCGAGTATGTTCTTTAATTTTAGCTCGAGTGCTGACCATTGCGAGCGCAGAGTTGTATGATCTAATGTTCTCTTTGTAGTTTCTGCTCAAATGATTTGCTCCATTAAGTAGGGTCTGGAAATAATAGCTTTCTCGGTATGGTGGTAGATTCACTTTTCCTTTATGGCAGCAGGATGAAAATCCTTCGCCCCGTCCTCTTTGTTCTTCTTTAAAATGTAACGCACCACATTTCTGACATTTTAATGCCATCTCGCCAAGTGAATGCAGCTGAATTCTCGTATTTTTTGTCAGTGTAATTTTGTAAGTACACGTTGCCACTAACTGTTCCAGCTCCTCGTCTGGGTCCTTACGTTTTGCATTGCTTGCGTATGTTGACTCACCGTGTCCGACCGGCAATATTTCTTTGTCGTCGGGTCCTTGGCATGTTTAAACGAAAATAAAATGTAAAACTTTTCTCCCGTCGTGTCCTATAGGTAACATTCCTTTGCCGGGTTTCTAATTATTTAAAAAAAACATGCAAACTGTTTACATTTCAAAACCAAACAAAACAGCTGGGATTTTTTAAACTTATAGGCTATATTGACATCTGTTTCAGAATATAATAACATTCAAATCAATCACAATGTTATCCTTATGGAAGGAACTTTGAGGGCAGCCCACGCCCTTAAAAAGATATATTTCAAAAATCTAATGCCAGTTTGCACATCTATACATCTAGACGAACATTTTGGTATATAATATGTGGGGTTAAATATTAAAACAAAAAAGCCTTATTGTTCACAAAGTTTCATGTCGCGTATTAAATATATAGATAACGGAAATTACAAACATGTAAACTTAAACATTGTGCAGACAATCCATTATAAATTAGTGCAACGGCTGTTTTACAGGAAGTACTGAATTTGAGATGTTATTGGCCGCTATATGTACTGGGAGTAAAGTTCATTGTACTTAGTACAATGGGACTAAGTAAATAGGGGATTGTTATGAACTAAATTGTTTTGGGGATTGTAGCCATGAACCAATGAGCTGAATGGTTCCTCAAGTTGGTACCAAAATAACAAGTTACAGCGTCTCGAATTTGAGCAGAGTTACCGCACCAGGGATACTTTGAGTTGTTATTCTAGCTCAGTGACTGCCATAAATCAAATCAAATCAAATCAAATATGCTTTATTCATAAAGTACAGTGTTGTAAATTGAATGGTGTCAACTAAATCTATCTTAAATTAATAATTTACAGATTTGCATATCTTGGATCATTATCTAAATCAAAAACCAAGAACCAGGAAATGAAAATAATCAAAACTGAATCAATTATGTACTAACGCTAAGAGGGGAGGTGGAAAAATACTCTTCCAGGGAATAGAATGCTTTCTCTACTAAATATAGTTTTAGTTTTCTCATGAAATTCTTCCTGCTTTGTTCATTTCTGATTTCATTAGGAAGATGCTTAAAAAATTTTAATCCTATATAGGATGGTTTTTTTTTCATAGAATTTTAATTTATGTTTACTTGAAATAAGGAATTTTTTATGCCGAGTGTTGTATGGGTGATAATTTGTCTCAGAGGTGCTCAAGCAGTTTTTTACTAGAATAATTGTGTCGTAAATATATTGGCCATATACCGTTAAAATTTTCAGTTCTTTGAATTTGTTTTTGGTTGTTTCATTGTGTTCTAATTTCAAAATTATTCTTATTGCTATTTTTTTAAGTTTAAGTATCCTATCCAAATTTGCTATTGTAGTTGAACCATAAAGGCACAAACCATAGGATAAATGCGAATGGACAATGCATAATATATGTTTTTTAATGTTTTATGGTTACAAAAATAAGACATTCTAGAGAGTGAATATAGTCCTGAACATAATTTTGAAAGGAGTTTATCAACATGTTCATCCCAGTTTAAATTTTGATCCACAGTTAGACCTAGAAATTGTGTACTGTGTTTATGTTCAATTTCTTCTGCATTATACATGATATTTGGTTTAATTAACTTTTTATTTTGATTTGTTTTAAAAGTTAAAAAATTAGTTTTTTTAGGATTAAGCTTCAATTTATTTTGCTCTAGAAAGTTTCCAATGCTTGCCAATTCAACAAAACTTAAAATTTCAACTTGTTGCACTGACTCAGCCGATACTTTGAGATTTGTATCGTCTGTATAAAAACAAAGATTTTTCTGAGGTAAACATGAGAGTGCACCACCAGCATCATTTATATAACATAAAAACAACAGGGGGCCAAGGATTGACCCCTGGGGTACACCACATTTAACCCTTTCAGTTTCAGAAGAAAATGTTGTAATTCTGTTATCATGATTATGTGTGATTTCTACAAACTGACAAAGATTATTTAGGTATGACTGAAACCATTTTATTGATTTTTTTGTAACCCCTAAAATGAGTAATTTATCTATCAGTTGGGTGTGGTTGACACTATCAAATGCCTTAGTTAGGTCCATGAAAATTCCAATTGTGAACTCCCCTTTATCAACCGATTCAATTATAGATTCTATGAATGACACTGCTGCTGTAATTACAGATTTTCCAGGCCTAAATCCATGCTGAGTATTGTTTAATAGTTTAAATTCTTCTAAATAATTTAATAACTGACAGTTAACAATTTTTTCATAAATTTTTGATATTACTGGTAGGAGAGAAATAGGATGGTAATTTGACACAGTTTCTAGGTCGTCTTTCTTATAAATTGGTATTATTTTAGATTTTTTTAATTGATTTGGAAAAATTCCTGATACAAAAGATGAATTTATTAAATGACTTAAAATATGGCTCAGGCATTTTTTGGCATGCTTTATAACTTTAATAGGGACATCATCGTGTCCAACAGAATGTTTGTTTTTTAAAGAGTTAATTACTTTTTCCACCTCCCCCGCATCAATAAATTTAAAATCAAAACCTCTTTTAATACATTGCTCATTTTCAATAAGACTTTGATTTTCAATCTTGCTCTCACATTGGTTGCCACTGACATCCTGATCAACATTAGTAAAATAATTGTTGAACATGTTAGCAATAGTTCTAGGATCACTTAAGCTACAATTTCCCTCTTTCAAAGTAATATTTTTATTTTTTGTTCCCTTTCCTTTCCCAACTTCAGAATTTATAATCTGCCATACTGTTTTTTGTATATTGGCTGATTTTTGTATTTTATTTTCAAAATAATTTGTTTTAGCTCTGACTAATTTTGCCCTATATTTCAGTTTGTTTTGTTTCAACTCGTATTTCAAGGCAGGATTTTTGTTCCTACGAAGTTTTAAGGCCAATTACATAAACATGTTATTCTGTTGTTCTAGTTTAATCTATTTAGTTTTTAAATTGGCCCACTGCACCTATTCCGTTAATTCACTACCACTAGTGGAATGTGGTTAGGTTAGGTTTTTCTATCTACACTACACTCTATACTAACCTAACCTAACCAAAGTTTAATTCACTAACACTTCTATTACTAATCGAAATAACCCATTGCTCTAAAACCTAGTGATAGTGAATAAACGGAAAGTCTGGCCCACTTAACAAGGAAAAGAGCTACATTAAGCAAAATCATCCTTACTTGACCAATAAGACGTCCCACTTTTTATCTGACTTTCGCTTTATCGTGTGTTTGGACCAGCCTGGAGGAAGCTTCTTATCCGGAATGATGATCGACTCACGATAGAGGCCTGTGAACATATTTCAAAAAATGATTAATAACCTCTTTCCTCTTAATACCCTCTTAATTCTTAGCTACCTGAACAGGCTGTTATCTATCTAGATGCAATATTTTAGAAATGTTGGTTCAATATTATTTTAGAACTATACAGTTTTGATTGTGTGGCTTAAACTAGTCGTGGCACTGTCGGATATGCAAAAGAGGATCCAAGACAGAATATAATTATTTAAACCGGCTGTAAACATGTTAAAAGTTATCAAAAAGTATTTCTGAAGTGAAACCTAATCAAGGCTTTAAGATTGTTTCCCATTAAAACCATCATCATAAATATATTAAAAAATAACCAATAAAGCGATATTCATCCATACAACCACAGGTCTCCGTTCACACTACACTGGGCCACTTTGGTGGCTCGATCTTGCTCCTGGAAGTGCAGCCAAAACTACGGTGACGAGAGCCCCCGACTTTTCTCACCCTCATGGAAACGCCACCAGCCAAAAAGCATTCAACTATATGGAGCACTTTAGACTATCGCGACACCAGTAATTTTGTTTCTCTCCAGTATAATTCGTCATAATGGCGAGACTTGACGTTGTATATTGGGTACATGAGTAGTAAAGTACTCAAACAGATATATACAGCGTAGATACCAACAGTCGATGTTCCATAAGTGTAGTTTTTTTAAGGGAAAAAAGCAACTTGGCTTTGGAATAGTTATTGAGGAGAAAGGAAGGATACACAACTAACTCACCTGAATAAAGAGTCCCAGGAGGTCAATAGAATACATAAAAAGTACACATTAAACTGATATTTCGCCCCTTCAGCGGCTTCTTCAGAGGTAGAAGGTTGAATGGCAGTTACAGTTCTGGCACTGTTTTAAATGTCTGACAGGCTTGCCAACACTTGTATACACTAAAACTTATAAACTGTATATACACATATATATTTACACTTTTCTCCTCAATAATTCTTCCATAAGTGTACAACTTATTTGGGTTATTTCTGAGGTTGACATAATAATTAAAAACGCTTCTCTAGAACCTTTTATGGAGTGTGTGTATTGAATTGTTGACATGCTGATGGGAGAAAGTATGGGTCAGTTTGATGATAGGCCTAGTGATTATTAGTAATATAGTTTACGTGACATGAAATCAGGTTTTTAATCTTTATCGAACTAATCTAAACTTACGGACAAGACATAAAATCACCCACCTTTCTCATCCTTTATCCGGAAAGGCTTCACTCCATTGGGAACAGTTGCATTCCATCTTTCCGGATCCTCGTCATGGCCTCGACAAACATACTTTTTGCCATCAACCCCCCTCTTGTACTAAAAAATGTCTTCACGTTAGAAAACAATCAAGGGTATGGAAAACAACAAAACACTCATGCAGCAATCCTAAAAACAAAGTGAATTTCCATTTGCCTGATTGTATTTTCACTAAAATATTTTATTTTGTAAGATCCATTACCTATTTAAACATCATAAGGTCAAACAAGAACTTATGTTCGATATATTAGGTACTAAAGTGCAATCATAGTGAAATGTTAATGGCTTATTATTTTTTTAAATCCTAATTTGATAATGAAAACAAGAGGTTTCTCTTTACCCTTTTTAAACGCTTCCTCTCAGGCTCTCTGACGGAAGGTTCAGCAAAAGGATCGGAAGATTCTTCCTTGATCTTACCACATGTAACATGTTTCGACGAGTCTACGAAAACTGTCTCCGGCTTCCGCAACCTTAACCTGAAAAGACACTATTTGTGCTGAGACAGCTGGTTTTTATTTTTGGTTTCCATGAAAATAATTGAATGTAAATAAACTAATACTAAAGAAAGAAAGTTGATACAATTTTAACTCTTTATTTATTCTACATTTATTAACTTAAAACTTAATTTAAAGCAGGAAAACCAAACATAACTTTACTTATCCACGGATATCACTATATGGTAGCAGAGTGTGGTTTCCTGCTTTAACTTTTTACAACTTTCTAAACTTAACTTCTTTACTCAAAATTGTTACAACTTCCAACTTTGAACTTCACTTTCCCGAATAACAAAGAATGACTTCAAGATGGGACCTTCGATTGAAATCTGCCTTACTACGACTGAAGACTTATACTACTGATACAAATGCATTCTTGGAGACTACAGACTTAACAGAACTACAACTTCAAACACGACTACGGACTTTGACAAGCTTTGTAAAGAGAGTGGAAGAAATTCAAAAACGTTTGGACACCGAGCCTATTACTGAAGATGGACAAACTGAAGGACCCACCACAGAGGACGACTTCATAAATACTATGATGGACTGTGAGGAGGTGCTTGCACAGCTTACGGTAAGACTAGATATTTCTCAAACTAATAAGTCACAGGCAACAGTGCCTGATACGTCTACCGTTCAGCCAATACCAACTATACAGCACCAGTATGTTCAACTACCAAAGTTGGTATTACCAACCTTCCAAGGGGACATGCTACGGTGGCAGGAGTTTTGGGATAGTTTTGAGTCTGCCATTCATAGCCACCCCACACTCAGTAACGTTGACAAATTTAACTATTTGATTGCACAATTAAAAGGTGACGCTAAACGTTGCATCGCTGGACTCCCCATTACAGATCTAAACTATGATATTGCTATTACCTTGTTGAAAGACAGATTTGCTAAGAAACAGGTAATAGTGAATTCTCATTACTGTGCCTTGAGGGATATGCCACCTATCAAGTCCAGTGACACGGTAACACTAAGGCGAGGATTTGATAACATTGAGAAACATATGCGTTGTCTTCAAGCCTTAGGTGAAGACGTTACTTCTAACTACTTTGTTTCTCAAATTTTCAGTAAGCTGCCCTATGAAATTGTTTTGAAAGTTGAAGAAATGAATATTTCTGGGGAATTGGATGTTAAAACTTTGTGCAAATTTGTAAATAACTTAATTTCGATTCGGGAGAAAGCAGAGCAACTGACGACCTCAACACCTAGCACTTCATCTTACTCTAATAGTTTTGTTACTGTTCCGAATCCACAGGCGGACACTAAGAGGTTGACAACTACCCACTCACTCGTGGGAAACGATAAATTAAATTGTATTTTTTGTGAAGGAACACATTGGAATGACCAATGTACAAAATATCAATCTGCTGAGGCACGTAAGAAAGCAATTCAAGGTAGGTGCTACGTATGTTTAAGTAAGGGACACACTGTGAAATTTTGTAAATCACATAAAAGGTGTGTTTACTGTAAACAGCAGAATAATCACAATAGAAGCTTATGTACCAAACAGTTTCCTACAGACCAAATTTCTAGAAACACCATCAAAGTAGACACCCGATCAACTAATCATGCCAAAGCTTTGCCTGCAAGTAACTTCAACCCGAGCAAGGTACCTATAAATACCGAAGAGTCTGCTTTAATTTCTATGTCGGAGAGTGTTATTCTTCAAACTGCAACTATTACTTTGCGTAATGCTGATACTAAACAAGAAACGCGTTGTGGTGTTCTTTTTGATAGTGGTAGTCAGAGGTCTTATGTGTCCAAAGGTTTGGCTTCTAAACTGAGTTTGAATAGTAAATATTGTCAATCATTGTCTTTATTTACGTTCGGCAACCGTGAATCTAAAACTGTTGAGACTCAAGTAACAGATGTTCGATTACTGCTGAACGATGACACATGTATGGATATTATAGTAAACATTGTTCCACATATCACTGGGAAGGTAGTTTCTAGTACCAATATCAACTTAAATACAATTGCTTCCTCCTATCCCAAATTAAAGTTAGCAGACGGCCAGTTTACTTCACAAAATATTGATCTATTAATAGGGAACGATTATTATTTTGATATCATTCAGGGTCAGAAGATAGAAATTTCACCAGGCTTATTCTTAGTGAATAGCAAATTTGGTTGGATCGTAACTGGTAGGCATAACGATAACAATGATCATTTCCCTCTGATGTACGAGTCATCTTTTCTTACTCTAGTAAAACCCAACAACTTATTTCCTAGGTCACCACAAACTTTAAAGCCAGATATCAATATTTGTGAAGGTGACGACATCAAAAACTTGTGCCAATTAGAGACTATTGGTATTAAGGATGACCCACACGTGAAAGATGATGACATCTCATTGATTAAATTTAATGAGACTGTTAAATTTGAGAATGGTCGTTATTCAGTTTCCTGGCCTTGGAAAGATTATCCTCCAAATTTACCCACAAACTACAATCTTTCTCTCGGTCGTTTGAAATCTTTAACAGATAGACTTTCAGACAAACATAATCTTCTATGTGAATACGACTCGGTAATTCAAACCCAATTGAAAGACGGTATAATCGAACGAGTGAGTTTTTCAGACAGAAACGATGGAGTCCTTCACTATATACCTCATCACCCTATTATCACTGAGTCGAAAACCTCAACTAAACTTAGGATAGTGTATGACGCGTCAGCCAAAACCAGAAAAGGCAACAATAGTCTTAATGATTGTCTTTACCGTGGACCTGTAATTTTGGAAAACCTATGTAGTTTACTTTTACCTTTTAGAATGAATGCTATTGGAATTATTGCTGATATTGAGAAAGCATTCCTTCAAATAAATCTTCAAACTCCAGATAGAGATGTAACTAGATTTCTGTGGCTCAAAGATCCTTTGTCAGCACCTACTAAGGATAATATTGAGGAGTATCGATTTTGTAGGGTTCCGTTTGGAATCATATCCAGTCCATTTTTACTCAGTGCTACTGTTTTTCATCATTTGTCAAATTGTGAACTTGATAATCTTAATGAAAGGTTGAAGTCTTCATTTTATGTTGATAATGTGGTTACCGGATGTGACACAGATCAAGAGGCCACAACACTATTTACAACTGCTTCTAGTTTGTTCTCTGATATTAACATGAACCTTAGATGTTGGTCTTCAAACTCAAAGACACTAATGACACAAATACCAATGGAAAAAACTACAACTGAGAATCCTACTGATGTTAATGTTCTTGGATTAAGATGGAACACCAATCTTGACAATCTTCACATAAAACCTGTTAACAATGACAGAAACAAACCTATTTCAAAAAGACAAGTTTTAAGTACTATATCATCCGTTTTTGATCCCTTAGGGTTATTATCCCCTGTAACACTGAAGGCTAAAATCTTTCTCAAACAGTTGTGGGAAGACAATTTGGATTGGGACGAATTACTAGATGAGCCTAAATGTAGGGAATGGAATATTATATGTGATGATATTATTAAAGCAACTGAAGTTTCTATTCCTCGATTCGCAGGATTACGAGCAGATCATGTAGAGCTCCATTGTTTTACGGATGCATCAAAGGATGTATATTCGTGTGCTGTGTATATCAAATTAATTAGTAAGGAGACTGTCAAAGTGACTCTCATGTTTTGTAAAAGCCATTTAACTCCAAAGTCAAAGCCGAAAATTACCCTTCCAAGACTCGAACTTTTAGGAGTGTTGATTGGAACAAGAGCATTACGTTTTGTGGAAGAATCCTTAAAATTTCCTGTTGTAAATAAGATACTGTGGACTGATTCACAATGCGTGTTACGTTGGATTAGCACAACAAAGCTGCTTCCTAAGTTTGTGGAGAGAAGAGTAATGGAGATCAAAACCAACACCGAGACGCAATTTAGATACGTTCCTACTGACGAAAATCCAGCTGATATGGCGACTCGAGGTAAAACGGTGGATAATCTGAAACACTGCAATGAATGGTGGTCAGGTCCACAATGGCTGTCTTGTAGTCAAGACTTGTGGCCGGATTGGTCTTCTGATTTTAACAAGCCATTAACTGAAGACGATATGGTTGAAACTATTGAAGAAAACGTCGTCACCTTGACTACAAAGACCGAAGACGTGAGTGAAACTAGTCCTTTTGGCATAGATATACAAAGGTTTTCATTACTTTCGAAACTGATTTTGACAACAGTTTTTTGTAAAAGGTTTATAAGTGGATGCAGACGGAATAAACAACCAAATCATGTTATTCCTACATCTGAAGAACTCAAAGATGCTCGTTTATCGTGGATCAAACATGTTCAAAACACTTGTTTTAGTGAAACACTAAGTAATATAAGAGATGGTAGGTATGATAGATTGCAGAATCAACTTGGCCTATTCGTTGATATGAATGGACTTATCAGATGTAAGGGTAGGATCTCAAATGCAGACCTTGAAGAATGTTGCAAGTTCCCTATACTTCTACCAAAGAACGATTTATTTACTCAACTGCTCATAGAAGAGTGTCACTGTAAGATTTTTCACATGGGAGTGCAACAAACTCTCTCGGAACTTCGGAAATCCTTTTGGATAATCCATGGCAGAGCTGAAGTCAACAGAGTTTTGCGAAAATGTTTGAAATGTTTAAAATACGAAGGTGGACCATACAAGCTGCCCCAAATACCCTCGCTTCCAACAGAACGGGTGACTGAAAGTATACCTTTCCAATTTACAGGACTTGACTACTTTGGCCCTCTCTACATTAAATCCTTTCAAGCTTCTAGAGTTGAAGTTTCAAAAGTTTACGGTTGCATATTCACCTGTTTAGTCACGAGAGCTGTTCATTTAGAGATCACCAATAACTTGTCGTCAGAAGAATTCTTACCATCTCTCAGGAGGTTTGTGGGAAGAAGAGGTACTCCGAAGAAGATTTACTTGGACAACGCTACTCAGTTTAAGAAGGCTTCCTCGTTCTTGAATGATATGTTTGTTGAACATCTCGATACACCAGAATTACTGTCTTATGTAAGTGAAAACCACATCGAATTTACTTACATCCCAGAGTTTGCACCTTGGATGGGAGGAATGTACGAGAGGTTGATATCTTTGATAAAGAGATGTTTAAGAAAGAGTATTGGTTCAGTTACTCTGACTAAATCACAACTCGACACTGTAATGATTGAAATAGAAGCTGTTGTCAACTCAAGACCACTAGTTTATGTATCTTCCTCAGATCAAAGTTTGACTGACTTTATTATAACTCCTGGCCACTTCCTTAACTTCCATGGAAAAAATGGTTTTGTAAATAGTTTGAATGAATGTCAAGAAAACGACATGGAGTTTATTTCTAAAGTGACTGAATCGGACTTATTAAAGATGTGGAAAAAGGGAACCAACAACTTAAATAGCTTTTGGAAGATTTGGAAGAAAGACTATCTGTTGAGTTTAAGGGAGAGAACTCAACATAATATCAAACAAGGAAGAATTCTGTCAACCCAACATCCACAAGTTGGTGATGTAGTTCATGTTCACGACACATTACCCAGAGGGACATGGCGACTTGGGAAAATAGAAGTCCTTAACGTCAGTGCTGATGGAAACGTAAGAAGTGCCAAATTAAAGTTAGGATCTGGGAAATACATCACCAGACCTATTAACTTGTTGTATCCCATTGAAGTCTCTGGCGTGAATTCCGGAAAGAAAAAAGGGGCCCAGAACAACTAACTAATGATGTGGGAGTGTGCTGAGACAGCTGGTTTTTATTTTTGGTTTCCATGAAAATAATTGAATGTAAATAAACTAATACTAAAGAAAGAAAGTTGATACATTTTAACTCTTTATTTATTCTACATTTATTAACTTAAAACTTAATTTAAAGCAGGAAAACCAAACATAACTTTACTTATCCACGGATATCACTATACTATTAGATGTATACAATGCAAACATACCATGGTAAATAGTTATTTAAAATTATATTATGGACTAGAGCAGTGGTCCCCAAATGGCGGACCGCGGTCCGGATCCGGACCGCCGCCTGATTTTTTACGGACCGTTAGTTCGAATTCACAAACTGTGTTTTTTATGTATTTTTATCTTTTAGTGAATTTAAACTTTATTTGAACCTAAAGATATATCGGTACCAACCATTAAAGATTAAAATATTTTATACGAAAAAACTATTTTTATCGAAACATAGTTAATTCATAGTTAATTCGCCGTACTCCGCGCTAGATAAAAATCGTTATAAGAGATGCTATGCACCGGCTTTTTCTTTACGCTTCCTCCCCTCCGTCGCTAATTGAACTCGCCCACCCAGTGGCCACGTCACGTCGTCATCGCCAGTGCATCGCCAGGCCGCCCGCACTCGCACTAGCTCAGCAGCTGTAGTCAGCACTGTCGATGTCGCGTCGTCTGTTTGTTTACTAATGTGGTGTTTAGTTCTCTCATTGATTATTCATCCTGCCGTGTGTTAGTTATGCAAAAAGTGTAGTGCGAATTACTTACAATGGATAGCAAAAAGCGGAAAGTAGACAGTGAAAATAGGCAGTTTTTACCAGAGTGGACGGACCAGTATTTGTTTATACTTCCAAACAAAAGTGGAGCTGTGCCTGTGTGTTTGATATGTCAACAAACGGTATCTGTTGTCAAGAGTTCAAACGTTAAACGACACTTTGAGACTAAACACAAGCCGTTTGATACAAAATACCCAACAGGAAGTGATCTTTGCAAGTCTAAGATTGAGAGTTTACGTTCGAACTACTTAGCTAGTACCCAGATATTAAATCGAACAATGACTGCCCAAGAAAGATGTGCAGAGGCTTCTTTGCGTATTTCGTGGACTCTCGCTAAACATATGAAACCGTTTACTGATGCAGATATAGTCAAAGAATGCATGATTGAGGCAGGAAACGTGTTATTTGAGAATAAACAAGACGTTGTTGACACTATTCGACGCATGCCGCTTTCTGCATCTACCAGCACACGAAACACTGAAGTTTTAGCAGAAGAAAGTTCTAAAAGCTTGAAACAGATTCTAGCAGCTACAGACAGATACGCTTTAGCATTAGACGAATCATGTGACATTACCGATACAGCTCAATTGATTGTTTTTGTGAGGTTTTTGGACATTAAAAAAGAACAGTTTGTGGAAGAATTGTTAACTATATTGCCAATATCAGGGCAAACACGCGGAGAGGACTTGTACAATGTTTTAATGGACTATTTTGAGAAAGCTGACTTGGATTTGAAAAAAATTATATCAGTAACGACAGATGGTGCTCGTGCGATGACAGGAAAAAACAAAGGCTTGGTAAGTCGAATGAAAACAGACCCTAAATTTAATGAAAGTTTGCTAGCCTACCACTGTATTATCCATCAAAGTGTGTTGTGTTGCAAACTGAATCCTGCTCTTGAAGGTACAATGCAAACTGTAGTTAAGATCATTAACTTCATTCGATCAAAGTCTTCACTTAGGCACCGTCAATTCAAATCACTTCTTGAGGAAACTGAAGCACAGTTTGACGATTTATTACTTCACAACAACGTAAGGTGGCTGAGCAAAGGATTTGTACTTCAACGGTTTTTTGCTGTTATGGAGGACATAAAAGTATTTCTTTCAGAGTGTAGTGAAGAAGTTGCAAATGAACACTTGGGCTTTCTGCTTGATACAGAAGACACTATCCCAAAAATAGCTTTCCTGACAGATGTCTTCAGACATTTCAATATGTTAAACTTAAAGATTCAAGGGAAAGGACTTCTTGTGTGTGAACTTCTCTCAGAAATTAGAAGCTTTACGAGAAAGGTTGTTCTTTGGTGTGAAGATATCAGTAACGAACGTGTGCACTTTCCCAGCCTGAACTCAGTTTGTGAAACCGACGACATTATTGACATGAAACAGTTTGTAAACTTTTTAAACGACCTCAAATCTGAGTTCGAAGCTCGATTTAGTGACTTTGACAAAATAGGGAATGTGGTTCAAGTCCTAAATAACTGTTTTTCTCTAAAGCCTAATGGAGAGTGGACCAATGAAGCAGCAGTAGTTTTGAATTGTAATAAAGCAGCCCTGCAAATGGAAATAATAGATTTCCAGGAAGACATTGCTCTGAAGGACAAATTTAGACAAGTCCCGAAAGAACTTTCGTGTGAGCTATTTTGGATCAAGTATGTGAGCAGTGAAAAATATCCTGAACTGAAAAACTTGGCCATCAAACTTTGTACAATGTTTGGATCAACGTACACATGTGAGTCTGCATTTTCAAGGATGAACTTTATCAAAAATAAATACAGATCTCGTCTCAGTGACAGCCACCTCAACAACCTGATGAGAATCAGCTGCACAGGACTCATTCCAAACTTTAAAGAAGTGGCCCAGAATAAAAAATGCCATTTCTCTCACTAAGTTTGAATACTCATATGTGAGTAATCTTTATGTATTCTATATATATATCTATATGTATATCTTTATGTGTTCTAAGTGAAATTAAATTTGATGACACAATTTATAATTTGTGATTTTTTTAAACCTAAACAATAGGCTATTTTCTAATAAATTCAAACTTTTATATGGTATTTAGGCAACAAAAAATTTTACAAATAGCATGCGCAAATAGGCTTAAATCACACCATTTTAACTGAAATTTTTAAATTTTTTCCGGGGGGGAGCCCCCGGACCCCCCTCCTGGCTTGTGCAGACCGTGACAGGATTATAGACACTTGGGATGGACCTCCATTACATTTAATTGGTGACCACTGGACTAGAGTATGGAGGTAGCCTAGGGTATGACAGGTGATCAGATAGTAGGCTACAAATTAGGAACATGCACTATCTATTGTTTTGCAATCAGTAGCACATCCAGTAATGAATAGAATCCTATGAAATACTAACAGGGTAAGAAAGCTGATGAACTAGAGGTACACTGTTGGGATAAAAGTTTAGACACTCAAGTTTGGAGCTCTATTGAATAGTAACCAAACTACGAAGAAAAACACGGAGTATATCAAAATTTCTTTTGTTTTATTCTACGTATTCCTATGAAAACAAATCATTTTTAGCTTGCTTATAACATTTTTTGCCAAGGTAAAAAACCCTTGTTCTTAGCTCGCTAAAACCAAAATCTTTGAAAAACGTGTCCAATATTACGCAGCTAAAGCCACAGCAAAAATTAAGTTTTTGTATAGAGTTTTAAAAACAATCTTTTGAGTTAAAAATTCGAACAATGTAAACTGAATGTCAGAAAATTCATCAAACTTTAATACAAAATAGATATATGTATAATGAATTAATTTGTGTCTTTTCAGTATTTTTACTTTACCCAAAAAGTCCTTATTGTTTATTATGTAAATGAACTTTAACTACAAAACAGCAAATGCTAGAAAAAATGTTTAAAAGTTGTTTTGAAGGCAATTTCGTTTTGGTGTTTGAAATATTCATAATGCTCAAACACATTGTGACACGTATGAGCCAGGGATCCATGAGTTACGTTTATATTGTTGGACACCACCTATGTGCGTATTTTAATCCAAATATGAGGGAAGGATGAGTGTAGAAAGGAGTGAGGTGATCTGTGTAGCTTTGTTACTAAAGCCTCCCTGATATAACTCAGTAGGCCTAACAAAAAAAACCAGTACCGGTAAGTAAAACTCACCATTTCTCATTGGTGTCCATGACTTGAGATTCTTGATCGAGCGTATTTGAGCAATTCACTTCCGATATTTTAAAATTTGTTTTGTCCTCATTTTCCAATCCACTTTCACCGTTTCTTCTGGGTTTAGTTTTAGTTTTTTCTGATTTCTTTTTTCTTGTATTTGCCTCAGGTTTCTTATTGTGTCTTTTGGGATTATGTGTCCTGACTACTGAGTTATTGTAAAATATTGTGTTCAGTACTTTCATAGTGAAGCCCTGAAATATTTAGGACTATTTAAACACCTCAACCACTAAATTAACATTTAATTTTTTTCAACATACAACAGATACAGCCCTAACTTAAAGAGGTTAGTGGTTCAATCAAAATAAATTGTCAAAAGGCGTATTAAAATTGTAGTGATCGGAGAGTTGGTGGCTCAGTCGGTAGCGCCACGGATTTACTCGTTTTACTATGGTCATGATAGAATAGACTGCAAATTTAAAACTCCCTTTTATTTTCAAAGAGTTGTTGAAACAAACATTTGATTTTATACTTACAATTCTTTCTAAAATGCTCAATGGTTTTGGTTTAAGCTTCAAGAAATATTGGTTATGTCTTCTTCGGAAAAAAGTAAACCATTTGTCCCCAGGTTCTCCATTCCTAAAAGGGTTTTTGCGGTTATCGGATTTTATAAAGTTTGAAACTATGTCAATAACTTCTGTGCGTTTAACGTCCTCTCCTTTTTTTGCTTTTTCGAGGACATACATTAGAAGTTCTTTTTCTTCTTGTTGACGTAAAACTGGCTGCTTTTTTGAATGATATGTTGTGTCATTCTGAAATCAAATATGCACACTTTACTGAGTTTTCTAAACAATTACAAATAATTTACTATTACAGTACACTTCCAGATTTATCGAGTTTGTTGAGACCGAGACTACCCAAATTTCCGAAAATCTGGGCTAATATAGAGGTCACATAGGTTCTAACACATTCGCTACTGCAATAGTACAACATTTTTCATTCACATGGACCAGCAACGAATATATGCGACGGCCGGTTTAACCCATAGACTGCTGTCGCATATTTGCATTCTGCGTTGGGGTTCTAAGTGCTATTAAAATCCTTATATCTTTGTAACGGTCTATTTGAAGGCACTGAATTTCCTGCAGTGGTCTACAGAGATGTCTGACGCACAACTGCGTCGCTTGGTCTGTGGATATGATGATTGGTGTTGTCATATGATGGTTGGAAAAACTGGTCTTTACTTTTCTGCATCACTGTATGTATGTATGCAGTATGTGTGCTGCATTATTCTATGTAGCTTATATGTTTGTTCAGTTATAAACTAAACTGTTCTTGAATAATCTGTTTTTTTTTTACTTACTTTCACCTCAAAACACAAACAAAATTGAACTGTCGAATATATGCGGCGTTTGGGCTATTTCAAGAAAACTATGATAATTTTCACTATTGTCTTCGCTGTAGACCGGGCGTCGCAAATATGTAACATTTGAAAAGGTTATAAAAAATACAAAAAAAAGAATAAATTATTTACAAACACGAATGCAGCGTATTACAATGTAAATGAACACTGTTTTACAGGTTTTCACCCATGGTCTGTGAGTACTGTTAACCAAGTGACAGCACCGGCTATGTGTTTATGTGTTATGTGTTTTTTTACACATAGACCGCTATGTGTAAGATTCAAAATTTGTATACATTTAATGTATACCTCGGTCTGTGGCAATGACCGCGGCTTCGCATATATGCGACGCTCAGTAGCGAACGTGATAATGTTAGGGGTTAAACGAGGGAGTCATTACTTGTAAAATTTAAGTTTTAACAATACATAGGGAATGAAAAATTGTCAAATGGAATTTTCATGCAAACCTTATTTTAGCGAATTTCCCATATAGGGAATAAGCTATTACCGTAGGTCTCATGGTAATACCTAGACCCGGGACCGATTTTCTTTTTAGTTTTGAGGTCAAAAACACCATCTGTTCGAATTTGTATACATAAATATGTAAGCTATATAAATAATTATTTATATTTATATTTTAATTATATATATATGTCCATTAGTTATCCGGGAGTGTACTGTAAAAATTAGTTTGACCAAAAATTTATTTGTGTTTTTTTAGCTAAAAAACTTGAATAGAATATTTCATTTGTATACACTAGAAAAGTTATGAAACATTTTAATAGCTATAAAATTTATTTAGGCCTAAATAGAATTCAACAACAATTGTTTTATTCTCTCTTGGTTTAAGTTATTCAGATCATCCATGGGGGGAAAACCCCTAATATTGACATAAATTATAATGTGAAGAGTGTTTTGCAAAATCACAATTTGGTTGAAATTTAGGAAGAAAAATATATCTTTTAGAGAATTTTCCCTACAGGGAATAAGTTATTACCGTAGTACTCATGGTAAGACCTGGACCTGGGACCGTTTTACTTTTTCGTTTTGAGGTCCCTAGAGACCAAAAACACCATCCGTTCAAATTCATATATATGTGTCCGTTAGCGCGATAACTCAAGCAAAAATCATCCGATTTTGATCAAATTTGGTACAAATGTGTAAACCTACTTTTATTCAAACGAGTTCGCGAACCAGCATGATCGGACTTTGGGAACAGGGGTTTATTAGGGGTTTTATGCAGCAGTTTTAACAGCAAGAACTCCACCCAATTCATCTACTGATGTGCTTGAGCTTTGCCACAGGTTAGATGCAGACCTGAATAAGCCACTAAACACCAGCAGTGCTGGCGACTCTCCATCTCTGGCGGATGTTTCGTCCGACTCTGAGATCACTTTTACAGTTATGACCAAAACTGAGTACAATATGTCTGTTAGAGAAAAGAAAAAGGCTGAGGGCACGTGGATCCCTAACAGACAGTGGAGAAAGAGGAAGCGAGAGTCCTTGAGTTCTCCTGGGGAAGGTTCAGGCGTATCACCGATGCGTAGAACCGGATCCGATAGTAACCCTGGGTCGTCTCAAAATCCTCCTTCTAAGAGAAATAAAAACTCTAATCAATCAGCAGATGGACTCGTTGCAGGAAAGGCCAGCTACAGAGATCAGCTTGTGGGTCACAAGTTGGCAGTAGCTCCAGCGGCCTATCCCGATGCGAGATTCTCTGTTGAGGAATGTGATTTGTTGCAGGACAAACTGATGGAGTTGGTGTTTGGTGATGACGGCGCCAACATTCCTCATCAGTTTGAAAAAATTTACCATGAGAAGGGTGCTCTTGTCGTAACTTGTGGTAATTCTGAAACAACTGACTGGCTAAAGAGGGTGGCACCGAAGCTGGCGCTGGGAAGTGAGGGGAGTATGGAGGTCATTGTAGCAGACTATAAGGATCTGTTGCGCACGACCAAAGTGCTCCTACGCACTGACAGGCGCTTGGCCAAGGTCGAAGCCTCTAAAGTGTTTGTTCAGATTGAGCGACAAAATCCTGGTGTCACGACAAAGGACTGGCGCGTCATTGGTGGGAAGAGGAAGGATGATCATCAGATTCTTGTTCTTGCTATTGATGAAATGAATGCGCAGGTTCTGAAAGATCGTGGCTGGATTATCTATCTGGGTCTGGGGAAAATACAGCTCAGAGTTATCTCTGGTGCTCCCTCTGATGACTCAGGTCCTTCAAGCGAACCTACAACACAGTAAGGCTGCCACGGCTGTGTTCTGTCTGAGCACGGTTAAGCAGTCCTTAGATTATGCCTTGATTCAAGAACCCTGGATCAATAATTTTAGAATTGCGGGGATGGGAACTATAAAGGGTAGCATCTTCTCTGCATCTGTACCACACCCTAGAACTTGCATTTGGGTTAAAGAGGGGCTAAAATGTAATCCAGTTCTAGAGCTTTGTTCGAGGGACGTAACAGTAATTAAGACTGTATGTACTAAATCCAACATAAATCTGCTGCTGGCCTCTGTTTACATGCCACAGGGCGACGATGGACTGCTCCCATCGGCCGAGGTCAGAAGATTGGTCGACCTCGCACACGAGTCTGGATCTGAACTCGTGATAGGCTGCGACTCCAATGCCCATAATACGGCCTGGGGATGCAGGGACACTAACAACCGAGGTAGGTCACTTCTAGAATACATAGCTTCTTGCGGCCTACTTGTTGCAAATGTAGGCTCAGAACCAACTTTTTTAAGCAGGATAGGCCAATCAGTAATTGATCTTACCCTGTGTTCGGCGGGTATGGCTGACAGGATTATTGACTGGTCAGTGTCCCTTGAGCCATCCCTGTCTGATCATAGGCACATTGTCTTCGGGTTGGGGAATTTCTGCGGCGAGGTTCGCTTATTCAGGAGCCCAGTTAAAACCGACTGGGCATCCTTCAGAGCTGATCTTCGGGGCAGAATTGCCTCGAACCTGAATACATCTCCTATTAACACAGTTGATGCGCTTGACGAGGCGGCAGATCGTCTAACTAGGTGCATAGTTACATCCTTTGAGGATAATTGTCCTTTGAGCAAGGGAAAGAGCAACAGGGCTAGTTGGTGGGGTCCTGAACTTGCCTCTCTTAGGAAGAGAGTAAGGGCCCAATTTAGGCGAGCAAAGATAACCAATAATTGGGATACATACCATACAACTCTCACAGAATATAACCATGCAGTACGTAAGGCCAAAAGGCTCTCATGGAAAAATTTTTGTGGAAATTTAGAGAGTATCAAGGATACTTCTAGAATACATAAGGTACTTGTTAGAGACAGGCATGTTACTTTGGGTGCCGTTGAGGGACCGGATGGTGTAATGGCTTTTGAACCTACCGAAATACTAAAGGTTATGGTAAAAACTCATTTCCCTGGTTGTATTGTTTCTGAAGTGCAGCAGGAGGAGGTGAGTCCAGAGCGGCCTAACCTGGGCCGTCGTGCCACTCATTCTATGTGGAGCACTGCTTGCCGCATAGTCACCTTCAGCAAGGTAAGATGGGCTGTTGGCTTATTACGACCCTTCAAATCGCCGGGTCCTGATGAGGTAAGACCTGTTTGTTTGCAGGAGGGTCTTGATACAATTATACACCCACTCTGTAAACTTTTCAGAGCCAGCTTAGCGTTAGGACACATTCCCTTAGGGTGGTGTAATTCGCGTATCGCATTTATTCCTAAACCAGGAAGGGATAGTTACACTGACCCTAAGTCATTCAGACCCATTTCTCTATCTTCTTTCTTTCTTAAGATCCTAGAGAAGTTGGTCTCAAGATATATGATGGATACAGCTCTTAGGACACATCCTTTACATATTAATCAGCAGGCGTATGTCTCAGGAAGATCATGCGAGACTGCGTTGCACCAACTTGTAAGCAAGATTGAGAAAGCTCTAGAGAGCAGTGAAGTGGCCCTGGGTGCCTTTCTCGATATTCAAGGTGCTTTTGACAATACTGGTACTCCAGCGATTCTTAATGCGGTGAGAGCAAGAGGTTTTCACGGTATAATATGTAGATGGATTGAATCCTTGCTTCTCAGTAGGAAGGTTAGGCTCTCACTCCACAATGATACGATCGAGGCAAGAACTACTCGAGGATGTCCTCAGGGGGGGGTTCTTTCTCCTCTACTTTGGAATTTGGTAGCAGACGACCTTATAAGGACCCTCAACGAAAGTGGGGTTTTCGCCTTAGGTTATGCTGATGATGTTGCAATCCTTGTGGTTGGAAAGTTCCACGGAACCATAACTGACCTTATGAATAGAGCTTTAAGGGTAGTGGACCGTTGGTGCCAGGATGTTGGGCTCTCTATAAATCCCAGGAAAGTTGTAATGGTACCCTTCACAAAAAGGAGGAAACTGGACGGGATCGGCCCACTAAGACTGCAGGGTACTGTAATAGAGCTGCAGAATCAGGTGAAGTATCTTGGTGTAATTTTGGACAGATCACTTCACTGGGGACCACACCTTCAAAAAGTCATTGAGCGTGGCAAATGGTCCCTTATGGCATGCAGGCGGATGGTAAGTGGCACATGGGGGTTACAGCCTAAACTTATGCACTGGCTGTATGTATCTGTTGTTCGACCCGCCCTTACATATGGTTCGCTTGTGTGGTGGCCAAAGATGGAATCAACTATAGCTGTCAAAGCTTTAGCAGGAGTTCAGAGGCTTGCTCTTATTATGATAACTGGGGCAGTAAGTAGCTGTCCTGGAGCGGCACTTGACTGTCTGCTTGACATGCTACCTATTGACATTCATATTAAGGTGGTAGCAAGTAAAACAGCCCAACGCCTTAGATGCGAAAACTTATGGATAGCCTCAGGGAACAATAAAGGGCACTCTAAAATTGTTCAGGTGGTACATAATGATGAATTGGACTTACCTTCAGATCACATGTCCAAAAAATACTCCTTTGGAAAGCCTTTCAAAGTACTAATACCAGATAGGAAGGATTGGTCTGGCGGAAAAGGACCCATACCCACAGGTGACTTAGAATGCTATACTGATGGTTCTAAGATCAAAAATGGGGGCACTGGAGCAGGTGTGCATTGGATGAATGGAGGCACTGGTATTTGTCTTCCAATGGGGGTGTACCCAACTGTCTTTCAAGCGGAGGTCACTGCCATTCTAGTTTGTGCTCAAGAACATCTTAACAAAGATATCAGAGACAAAACAATCAATATCTTTACTGATAGTCAAGCGACCTTAAAAGCATTAAACTCTTACGAATTCAACTCCAGGCTCGTGTGGGATTGTCTTGCTTCTGTGTCTGAGTTGGGTAGGAGAAATGACCTTACGCTTTGCTGGGTACCAGGACACTCAGGCATTGAAGGAAATGAAGCTGCAGACAGATTGGCAAATACTGCCTCTGCGACATCATTGTTAGGCCCGCAACCCTTCTGTGGCATCTCACGAAACAGTGTATGTTCTGCGATTGCGTCATGGGCCAAGGAAAAGCATCGCAAACGCTGGGTCGATGTTCCCCTTCTTAGGGTCAGCAAGCTTACTCTGTTTAGGCCTTCCAAAAAGGTTGCCTGTGACCTCTTGAGACTAGACAGACGAAGAATTAAATTAATTGTTGAACTGATAACTGGTCATGGAAGATTCAGGAAACATCTACAACGGATGGGCTTATATGATGGTGAACCGATCTGTAGGTACTGTGATAGGTCAGAAGAGACAGCTGATCACTTACTCTTTGATTGTATTGAGCTCTCTGACGCTAGATTGATAACTCTTGGAAATATGGCTAGAGGTAGATTTCTTCCTGAGGATGAACTAATTGGGAAGCTACAGGCATTCATTGGGCGCCTCAACTTGTAGGTCAACAAGAAAGCAATTAAGTATCTGGGGTGCGCAATAATTCGATTTCGGATGAAGTGCTTTAAGGTCTCGACCTGCCCCTGTCAGATAAGATAAGATAAGGGGTTTTATGGGGCAAAAATTGGTTTTTACCATTTTTGACCCTAAAAACTTTTAAAATTTAGCATTTTCTTTCCAAACCATTTTGTAGAGCTTAAAAAAACAAATAATTTAGTATATTGAAGTGTTATTATGTGCCTAATACTTACGGAGAAAATTCCAAAAAACTGTGAATTTAAAATTTCCATCTTATTCTCATGGAGGGTAAGTCAACTGTTGTAGTTTGCTTGTTTATGAACATATTTTGATCGAATTCGGAAAATACTTTCATTTCTTATACTAAACTATTAACATTTTACAAAAAAAAAACTTTTTTACCCTCCCTGTTGCAGCAAACCTAAGTACTTGTTAAACTAATTCTATTTAAATAGGAAATAAATGTGATATTTTTATGGAGGCATTTTAGTGTAAATCAAATCAGGTTAATGGAAATTCGCTTAGTCTGCAGGTTTGCTGCGGCGGGGGTATTTTACTTTTACCTTCTTAGTGAATGAACCAAGCTCAAACCTTCCCGTTTGAACGTTCCGTTTCTTCTCCGTTTTGTCAGGACAGTTCTGAGTATGGACCTTTTTGTCTCTATTTATCCTGGGGAGAAGGAGTTTGTCACGATTTTTCTCTAACCAAAGGTGGTAACCCTTGTATGACCTGGAAGATGTCGGCTCTGTAAAATCTAGAGAATCAGAGTCATCACTCTCAAAACCCTTGAATCCCTCTTCCTCTTCAACATCCACTCTCATTAATACTGGTTCATCAACGTAGACCGCCTCTGGTTGACATAACCTGAAATTAAAGAAAACTCTTATGGAGCTGTAATTTCAAATAGGCCTATATAATAGATTACGTACCTTGGTCCGCCTTTAGTCTTGTCTTAGTCTATGGATGACTAGTTTCGGGTACAAAGACCCATTATCAAATCCTTTAAAAAATCATGTTGAATTTGGTCAAAAATCCGACGGGAGTCTTCATCAACATATAAGTACAGGTCGATACATAAAGTTTACAATTTAAAAAACACAAATTACAAAACATTTAACGGAAAGTAAATAAAAGAAACGTCTTATAACACTTAAAACATATATTTACGTTTATACTGTTACTCACAAGACAGTAAATATACAAAAAAGATGGTAAGTGGTGATCGATTTCGATTTGGACACTCCAATCATCATCAGACCCAATAGGCGAATGTCATCATTCTTTTTTTTTTTGTATATTTACTTTATTTCGTATATTTATATTTTTGGTTATTTACAGTCTAGTGAGTAACAGTATAAGCGTAAATATATATGTTTTGAGTGTTATAAGACGTTTCTTTTATTTTTATTCCGTAAACTTAATAACACTTACAATGCTGATCAAGAAGTTATTTAGTAAAACATTTAAGACGATAGGCCGGCCACATTGAACACGGGACAAACTAACACAGGTTACGATGTTTAAACTGTAATGTCAGTTGAGTTTGTTCTTGTTGTTTAGTTGAGACTCATGATCATGACCCACGGGAGAAGTTCTTGATTTTGCCACGGTCGTGGGTGTCGATGATGATATCCCCGTGATTTCATCTCATGGGAGGTGTTCACGATTTTGCCACGGTCGCAAGTGTTGATGATGATGTCCCCATGATTTCGGCTTACAGAAGATTTTACAAATTTGCCGCGGCCGTCGATGACGATGTCCCCATGATTTTGGCTCAAGAAAGATGTTCACGATGATGTCCTCATGATGATGGCCCACGGGAGACGTTTACGATTTTGCCGCGGTAGCGGGTGTCAATGATTTCAGCTCACGAGAGATGTTCACAATTATGCTGCGGTGGCGGGTGACGATGATGATGTCTTAATGATCGCGGCCGCCGTGAGATTTTCTTGATTTTGCTGTGGTCATAGGTGTGGATGATAATATCTCCGTGATTGCAGATCTTGGGAGATGTTCACGATTTTGTAAGTGCGACTGCGGGGAATTTCCACCACAGGGGTGGGGGCCGCTCGAGTAATTTGTCCTAGGGTCGTAGGTTCCCTAAATCCGGCACTAAGTCAGGATTTGCTGTGGTCATAGGTGTCTATGATAATATCTCTGTGATTGCAGACCTTGGGAGATGTTCACGATTTTGTAAATGCGACTGCGGGGAATTTCCACCACAGGGGTGGGGGCCGCTCGAGTAATTTGTCCTAGGCCCGTAGGTTCCATAAATCCGGCACTAAGTCAGGATCACTTATTTAAAGACCAAGGATCAGGAACAGGTGGGCACAGTTTTTAACCATCAAAAAGCTACTGACTATTCTCACGATTGAGCGACCTTTTGATTGTAAGGCGAGCACTATAACCACTCAGAGCTATTCAACCATGGTATCGGTATAAAAAACCTACGTATTAATATTGCCCAATGCATCTAAAACCCGATAATAAATTAAAGTAGCATGGTAAGTCAGTAGGTATCTGTGACCGCGCCACTCATCCTATCTCCATTCATACTTGGCTTAAATACCTATCTTTGTATGGTCGCCATTTCAATTAAAAGAATTAAAATTGTCAGTAATCATAGTTCTAACTTAACTTACCTATCTTCTTGGAGGGGATCCGTAATGTCATCAAATACTTCACGTGTTTCTTCCTTTATTTTAACACCATTGTTGTCTTGCACTATCTCACTTATTGTAGCACATTCCATTGTACCATCTGGTGTTCAAAAGCTTGACTTGTGGATTGTTTGTACCAGATTTGCTAAAATGTTTAAATTAATTAATTGATTTCATAGCCAGTACCACTTTTAAAACTCTGTTCGTATTTCAGTAGCAAAACCAATTGATTTATTTTATTGATCAGTAAACTTTAAGCCCAAGTTAACTTTGTTTGTCAGTAGATTTTGCATAAGTTAATCTTTGAAAATTTTGGAGTCATTTACTCCAAATTGTGAAATGCCATCGGTCATGAAAGCATATAATAATTTTGTTTTCATTGCAAACTGACTACCATGACAAAAAAGGTCTGTCCCTCTATTTGACGTCCTGACCATAATGACAAAATTTGCAGCTTTGTGGCAATCCTGGCAGCGATAACATCGATTATATATATTATATATGTAGGGGCCAAAAACACCATCCGTTCAAATTCATATTTATTTATATATATACATATTGAATTTGAACGGATGGTGTTTTTGTCCTCTAGGGACCTGAAAACAAAAAATTAAATCGGTCCGGGTCCATGTCTTACCATGAGTACTACAGTAATAGCTTATTCCCAATATATATATGAAATTCGCTAAAATGTAAAGTTATACTTATATATTTTACCTACGACAGTTTTTTAGATTAGCCGTTTCAGTTGTTCTTAAAATTGAAAAGTTTCTTATAACAACATTATTTACTTTCATAACAGCATAGTTTTACCATATAGATATAACATAGGCCAACTCCCTTAGTAGATTTGCCATCCTTATGGAACAGCTGAAGCCAATTTTATTATTAGTTCTGTAGGTCCAACTGTTGAGGTAGTCATACTTGGGAATAACGAATAGAAATTCTACCGAATAGTGCTATTCGTTCGTTTTTTTTTGGCTAACTTCTATTTTATTCGTTAGTTTTTAAAAAGAGCTGGAAATAACTTCTACTTAGTTAGTTTAATAGACAACGAATAGATAATATATTCGCTAGTTTTAAATCGTTAGCTTTTCTGGTCAGGCAAAAGTATTTCCAGTGTGCGTTATTTATTTTACGTGTTCAGTGAGGGTTGCGTGTTGCGTGCGTACGTGAGAAGGTCAGCGCCCTTGTGACAAACGCGGGGGGTGGGGAAAGGGAAAGTCAAAGTCCAGCCGCTTTGGTATGCAGCGGACCCGGGGGGCGAGCCAATGGCAGCCAATAACAATACCCCAAACACCTAAGGGTGGGAAGGGGGAATGTTTGTTTGGCGATTGATATGTATGTACTGTAATCTCAAGTGTCAAAACAATGTCTTCACTTCAGTCGATGTTCAATATCTGACCGTGACAGGTGTTAATTTTTTGTTAGTTTCTTAGTTGTCTTGTCGTTATATATATTTTAGTGATAGTTAAATATTTTACATACATAAGTTATTAAGGTGAACAGTTTTAATCAGGTAGGAGTATATTAATAATATTTGTTTGCAATGGCGGGAGAGTGTGATATCAAGTGACCAATCTTAAGTGACCTATTTCAAAAGTTGAAAAAATGAAAAGGGTGGAAACGCGTTAAAATGTTTATTGTGTTTGTACCCAAAACAAAAATAATTAAAGCATCTGTCACAAGTGCTTTGAGGTAAGTGGAGAAAAAGTATGATGGTCTCGTTTTTAACTTGAAGTGGAATAGGTCTATATATTTTTTAATGAATATAATTTGTATTTTTTAGTACAGTTATGGTGTATTTCTCTAGGTTTTTCCCATGCTCTTTTAAACTTTATCTCGCCACAAATAAGTCACTTTTAAATTTAGTAGTAAACTATACTTTTATCACACTGGAAAAACTACTTCATCAGACTTTAAAAAATTATCTGATATTTCCTAATCCATTGATTGCTGTCCATTAATTGTTGTACAATAAATTTTTTTGTAAAATTCAGCTAATTGAACATCAACAAACTGTGTTTTTACCTAACCGGGAACTTCAGTTGTAACTTATGTTTGTGTATCGAAAGTAATGTTTATGTCAGGAAAGGTGAGATGATCACTACCTATTTGTTTTTGTCTTTTGAACTATTGAAAACAGAGTGATGACAAGTTTTTGTATCACCTTTGTCGGGGAAATAAATATGTGCACTCGAGTTTGAGCCTAAATATATCTGAGATGAATTATCCGATTTTGTTGAAACAAAAATTAAATATAAGCTGGTTTAAATACATTTTACGTGGTGTGAATTAAAAAATTTCCATTTACCAGAAAAATTTATAAAGTTGAAAGATCCTAAAAAGTACCGGTTTTTAAGAAACTCTGCACTAACACTGAAGTTAAAAATTTATTTGTAAACAAACCACTGAGCCAATCTTTCTGAAATTTTTATGGCTTATTTTTAGGTTCATTGTTAACATTTCCATGCATTTTAAAAATTTTATTCACAATAGTTTTTTTGCTGCTGTTAGTTTTTAAAACTTATGCTAACATCGTTAATAAGACACTGAAAATTTTGTCCAATATACCATCGTGTTTGCCGTGACACAAGAAATAACACCAATATGACAGATTTTATGATGCGAACAAAGGTGGTTTTTAAACAGATTTATATTTGTAGACAAAAATTTCTCCTGTGACTGGCAGCGGGCCGCCTGTTGTTTGTACAATTTTTTCCAGCCGGGCGGGAGCGCGTGCGAATCTGCGACGTTGCCGATGTGTACCTGGCTACCACACTGACATTGCTTCAGTATTCACTCACGGCAAACTAATGTGTAAATCATTATTTAGTTATAACTTTACTAACAAAATATTCACTAGTCATGAAACAAAATACATTATAATAAGATAACTACAAATATATATATCTACAAATTAAATACCCCCGCCGCAGCAAACCTGCAGACTTGGCGAATTTCCATCTGCCTGATTGGATTTAAACTAAAATGTCTCCTTAAAAATATCACATTTATTCCCTATTTAAACAGAATTACTTTAATGAGTACTTAGGTTTGCTGCAACAGGGAGGGTAAAAAAGTTATTTTAATGTAAAATATTAAAAGGTACTGTGGTTTGGTAAGAAATTAATGTAATTTTCCAAATTTGATCAAAATATGTTCATAAACAAGCAAACTACAACAGTTGACTTATTCTCCATAAGAATAACATGGGAATTTTAAAATTACAATTTTTGTAATTTTCTCCGTAACAATTAGGCGCATAATAACGCTTCAATATACTAAATTATTTGTTTTTTTAACCCTAGCAGTGGCCAACCATCGTCTGGTGACGGTATGACGTTGATGCTTAGAATGGCCAATGTCGTCTGGTGACGGTATGGGCCGAAATTTTTTTAACGGTAAAAAAAACACTTACAACCAACTCAGATGAGAATAATATATATACCATTCGAAAGATCACATTCTGAACTTTCATTTGATTACATAAAACAAACCCTGTAGCAGGTATATAACAATGTCACGACGATTAGAAATCAAATGAAATTTTGGCGCGGTACGACTTTTGCAGCCGACACTTGGGAACTGGCAAAACACGTCTTGTTTGGCATTACCCTGCTCCGGTAATTTTCGTCTTGGGATGTTGCGGGTGGTACCACTGGATAGCCATTGATTTTATCTTCATTGTGGTAGTGATATTTATAACTAAATATTGATTGCACAATCGGTACGATTTTATGAAAACAGCTGTTTTCGAAATTTCTAACAAATGGCCAACAGTCGTCTGGTGACAGTATGGAAAATACGAATTATATACAGTGAAAGTTATTATTACTAGTCATATAGTATATCATTTTGAAGAGGAAGAAATTTAGATTCAGAGAGTGGCAGCCCTGCACTCAGGGTTATTTCTGTATGCTCGCATGTAGACGACGAAGTGAGTCATTACTGCTACAGTCTGTCAGCTGTCTTGTATTGCCATTGTTTGTTTGTGTTGTTGCGATTTATTACTAAATATGTTATTAGTTCGTAGTGTTAGTGTTAGTGAAGTGTTGTGTGTGTGTATAACAGTAATCTTCATGCATAAATATTACTGAATTGTGTGAAATAGTGTTCATAAAAGGTTGTATTTTGTTAGCATCATGTCCTAAAATGACAATTCTGACATTCAGAGATTGTTGTACCTATATAATGATTTACCCAAGGTGTTATACATTTTTATAAAGGTAAATGAATACACTAAAACATGTTTATAATGGTTTGGGGGTAAAAAATTTTGTAAAAAAGTTATAGCCTATACTAAATAGGCCTACTACTGTATTTTGTTAGCATCATGTCCTAAAATGACGTTTCTGACATTCAGAGATTGTTGTAGGCCTACCTATATAATGATATACCCAAGGTGTTATACATTTGTATAAAGGTAAATAAATACACTACAACATGTTTATATTGGTTTGGGTGTAAAAAATTTGGTAAAAAAATTATATAGGCTAGGCTACTAAATACTGTACACTCCATTTTCTCGAAATACGCAAAAAATTCAAAACGTTCTCAAATTGATACATAGCCTAATCATAGGTGAAAATAACTTTTTACCATCATACTTATGACTTTTTTGGATTCCTTATTTCATTAGCTTTACAAATATGTAGGCTACATATCATCAGCCTACATAATGTTTCACAACACAAGCAAACACTGTAGGCTATAGTTTACACTTATTTGCGGTTTTGCGGTTATTGTATTATCATGTCCCTATTACGTACCTACAAAAAAATATTTCTAACATGTTATACATTTTTATGTAGGTAATTGAATACACTACAAGATTATTATGTTGGTTTGAAGTAAAAAAATTTGGTACAAAAGTTGTATACTAAGTACTGTGAATTTTTTTTCTCGAGAAATCGCTAAAATATAAAAACATTATTTTATATACGTATGTTTATAGGTAAAAAGTTATTTTTACCATAAACTTTATGACATTTTTTGATTCCTTACTTCATTAGCTTTACAAACATGTATATATCGTTATTAGTATACACATATATTATAGAACTTTTTACAACATAAACTAACACTGTACGGTTTTCAATTTTTTCGGTTGTCCGTTTGTCATTATATTTCGCCCCAAAAACTTATAAAAAAAAATATTTTCCTAACATGTTATATATTTCTATGTAGGGAATTAGATTGTCTACAAAATGTATATAATGAATTTCCCATAAAAAAATCCGTAGAAAAAAAATACCGAGGCCGCTTTTGAAATTTCAAAAAAAAAAATTCAATTTTTTTTATTTTTTTCACTTTACCGATAAAATACACTATCTAATTCATTATGATATTACTATTTCTAGATTCTCCTGTTCTTTCCGAACAAAATGAATATGAGGTTGGCTAGGTTTACTTGTACGGTTGAATTTTTACGAATTTTCAAAAAAAGGTCTGCAAAGTCGCCAAAATGGGTTGGCCATTCCCCACTTCTAACATTGGCCACTCCTAGGGTTAAGCTCTCTACAAAATGGTTTAAACAGAAATTGTGAAATTTTATGTTTTAAGGGTCAAAAATGAGAAAAACCTATTTTTACCCCATAAAACCCCCCATAAACCCCCGTTCCCATAGTCCGATCATGCTGGTTCACGAACTCATTCAAGTTTATCCCGCCTTACACCTTCAAACCTAATTTTATAAAAATCGGACAAAAATTACTCAAGTTCAAACAATTGTGTATAGGTTATATATATAAATTTGAACGAATGGTGTTTTTGGCCTCTGGGGACATCAAAATGAAAAAGTAAATCGGTTCCGGGCTTAGGTCTTACCATGAGACCTACGGTAATAGCTACTTCCCTATAGGAAAATTCGCTAAAAACACCTTTGTTCACTGCGAACGCCTGTTCAGAGCGGCAAGCCTAGTCATCACTAACAGAGTAACAGACGAGGAAGAATCAGCGACACCAATTTTGAAAAACAACTTCTTAAAGTTTAATAGGCATTTAAAGTAAATTTTGTTGTAGTAATGAATGTTTTAACATTACATGTTTAATGTAAAATGTGACGATGTTTAATTAATATTTAATTCAAACACAATAATTAGTAACCAAGATGTGTCATTATTTCATTTTCATTACATATGAAATCATTCAAACAACCGTCCAACAAACAGCTATCTTCTACAAATGTTGAAAACTAACTTTATTTTCTATCAGTTAGTTTTTCAACTAACTAATAACTTCTAAGTATCAGTTGCTTTTTAAACTAACTTCCATCAGTTACTTTTTATGGGACTAACTTCAAACTTCTAACTAGATAGAAATTTTGACTAACTTTCCCAACTATGGAGGTAGTGTTTTGTTTACAATTTTTTTCTTGTTATTTCAGTCACCTCATTTAACTAAATAAAACGATATAGTCATAAACAATAACTGGTCTCCTAGTTATATAACCAAATAGTAGGCTAAAGCACAAATCATGAAAATAACCCTAAAATAATAGAAACAAAATTTTGTCTACCCCAGCAATCAGTGTGGACGTAGGCTACATGAATTAGACACAAAAAACGAGCTTCAAAATTTGCGATGGGATGAGGAGTCTACTTGTGTTGCTTATTCTATGGTTTTACTCATAACAACACGGATAACGGACCAAGGATTGAGATAGAAGAAGTAAAATTGTAATGATTCGAACTTCAACTGATCAGCTGTTGGCCAATCACTCCAAACTCGCCGATGCTCATACCTTAAATTTTCTACTCGTGTTGATAACACTATCTTTAGACAATCGTTGTATAAACTACTAGTTTCTTTGATAAGCATATTTCATCAGAAAACAGTACACGCTGGAAGTTCTTTGTGTGAAATTGGCATAGGCCTAACCCTTTTAATCTCTTATAACCTTTTCATTTTTAGAGAACAATAGCCTATTTACTTAGGTAAGTATTGTAAAAAAGGGTTTCCTTTGAAATGTAGCCTATATTATGTAATTTATAAATCATTTATCATGTTTTTTATATTGACCATAAAAATATGCGTTAACCCTCCAAGTGTCCATAGTTTAGGCCTTAATGTCCACCTATTTTTGGCGCATTTGCAAGGTTTTATTAAAACGGATCTGAGAAGCTTAAAACAATGTTAATTCTAATGTTCTATATACCATTTTGTTTGGAAAATCATGGGCTTCAATATTATATATAAAACATAAGGAACATTAAAAAAAAAAAATTTTTTTAGGTAAAAAAAATATAATTTTGAAAATTTTCAAAAAAAAAATAAGTTCGCGCTCAATGAAATTGTATAAATTATAGGCCTATAAATATTTGAAAATAGCCACTTTGTTCTAAATTTTATGAGGATTACAAATATATAATAATATAAGGAAGTAGATTTGCAAATAAATAAGTTATGGGCAAAAAACAGATTTCAGTACATAGCGTTTAGCTAAGAATGCATAGCCTAACCATAGCTAGGAATCTGGCTGATAATTTACATCAATATCACTACCTACTTCTTCAGGATCATCAACCAGCACTTCAAAACCACTTAAATCTTCTTATAATGCAACACGTATATCACTACTTTTGATTTTTAACACTAAAACAATGATAAACGTAATAAAACACATCAGTCATCGGTCGGAGGGTAACCTAGCTGTTTACAAATACACGCACGTCAGCTGTCTGCTACATATTACGATCGGCTCAGATAACGTACAGCGCTGAGACAGACCTCTGGAGAAAGCTTAGAATGGAAAGAACGATACCTAACTCGATCCAGTTCAATCCGATTCAGTCAGTTATAGAGCCTTCGCCGTAAACGATGTCTGCTTGTCGAAAAATCGACAAGTAACACTACACAAAGTGTGCTGCTTGTCGAATTTTCGTCAAGTAACACTGGGAGGGTTAATATTATGAGATTTTTTGGTACAAACTATAAATAATGTTATTTGACCTCTAGGCTTGATTCCAAAATGTAAAACCCACTAAATTGTCCAGTAGGCCCTATCATAAAAACTAAATTGTAAAATAGATGGACAAGCCTAGTTAGGCCTAGGGTATTAATTAATGCTAACTTAGGCCTAGCTTCATTTTGAAAGTGAATCTAGGCTACAACAAATGCCTGTTTCTTTTTTAAGATGCGTTATGACCCAATAAAGCCTTACTACTATACTTCACTCATTTAGTCACAGATGCAAGATTATTTTATTCCATAAAATTAACTTAAGTAGGCCTAGGCCTAGGTAAAATATGAAAGAACTCATCTGGCCTAGTTTATAAGCAGCCTAAACACGGCCATTAAAGTTAGTTATAGGTTTTTTTGAGAAAAGTATCTTGAAGATTATAAAGAAATAATACTAATGACACCACAAACCGAATTATTCCTCAATCCTCGTGTAAGTGATAGTACCAAGAAAACCTCATCGCTTTCTAGGGCTATCTAGACCAGCTTCCAACAACAGAACAGCCATCTTCTTATAAATAAATAAAATAACAAAACAATTAACAAACATGGAATAAAAAAATTACGGTACTCAGGTACTGTCTGCTAGTACATGAACTTGGGAGAGTGACATGTAACTGTTTCAGCCCAATCTATCATGCGTGGGGTCTCATACCTTATAATGTCATAGCTTATAATCGTGAATTTGTTCCATAGCTCATAATGTTGAAAATGTGGCATAGCTTATAATCAGTTATAAGCTATGCCACACTTTCACGAAAAATTATAAGCTATGCCACAATTTCTCTAAAACGTTATAAGGTATGAAACGTTTTCAGTTTCACAACTTATAATGGTCAAATAGTGGCGCAGCTTATAATTCCAATTATGTTATAGGGTGAGTGCACTAGTGAATGACCACCCCCCAGTGAATGACCGATTTGTATAAAAAAACATGTTTTTCCAAATCTATCACAAACAGTTTTAAAAGTAACTTTGAGGTCTTATTAATGTACACTCTTTGACTTATTAAAAAAGAAAGTGTCAAATATCCTTTTGTAACATAAACAAAATTAGATGTTTCAAAGCAGTTCATTATTAAGCTTCCCACTATGGCGTCTCACACAAACATGGTTGGTTGTAATTTATCATGGTTCCTTAATTATTGATTGGAACTGTAATATATTACATGTAATTTACAGTTAACATGTTAAGGTATAATTCTGTACTCATTTAAAAATCAAAATCCTAACCAATCGTATATTTAAACAGCCGGTCAATTACTGGTTAACAAATTAGGGTATAACCAGTATGAATGACCGTTTCGTTCATTAACTGGATTTGAGTCAATTTTCTTTATTAATTTTCTTTATTTTTATTGATAACAATGTTTTCTGATGGAGTAAGAGATTGCTAGGAAACACAAGATCTCATCAAAAATTATGTGGATACACTATAACCAAAGTTTGAATGCGAGTTAAATCTTACGGTCATTTCCTAGATAAAAAGTGATCTTTCACTAGAACCTATATTTTAACAACCCTAATATCGTTATTTTTCACTACATGGTTTACAGCTTAGATGCGGAAATCTTGAACGGGGGTAATTCGGTGAAAAGGAGGAGTTTTAATAAATTTTAAAATTGTTATATAATATGCGGTCATTCACTGGTGCGATGATTTATGTGCAAAAAATTGTATTTTCCGATACTTTTTTAACATAATGCATTAAGTTGTATCATCAGGAAGTAGAGGGAAATATGGGCAATTAATACATTTTAACGATTACGTACAATATAGCTTAGTAGTATATTTTCCCATGTCGTTTACAAGTAGAAAGTCAACCTTAAACGGTCATTCACTGGTGCTCTCACCCCTATAGCTTATAATCCTGATTTTTAGTCATAGCTTATAATTCTGATTTTGTGGTATAGCTTAAAATTGAGGAGAATGTTGCATTGTGTGTTTGAACGGCATCAGCTGCTCGCTTCAGTCAGGTCTACCATATATTTTAAGGTAGGATGCAATAATTATTGTAATGTGTAATTATTGTATTGTAACTATGATATGATATGGTATTTTATAACATAAACATTTATTTAAATAGTATACACGGTTTTTACGAGAAATGGCAACAATGACATGCTACCGGTATATGACAATAAAAATGCAAGAAATATTTATATACACAAGAAGTTAAAAGATATGAAAATTAAGTGACGGCTGACGGAACCGTCGTGTACACGAACACAGCTATCGGCTAGGGAGAAATTCCTTACCCCCACTTCTCCTCCACAGTACATTCCCGTACAGTCAGTTAAATCTAAAAGTGGCCTCACTATTAAAACTACATTACAAACCAAATTAAACTATAGGGATGAAGCCATTTTAACGCATATAAACTAGGTGGCGTTCGCAGAGGCATCCACAAAATTGAGCGGAGTCATCAAGGGTTCATATTATATTGTTTTTGTCATACTGCAGTAAAAACAGTCGTCATTGGTGCATGATTTGCGGGTCTAAAGTAGCATTTTTACTCTTTAGGGAATAAAATTCGTTTTTAGCCCCTATGGAGTAAAACTCAGCTGTTGTCAACTCATTTGTAAACTTCTATTGTAAACTATTGAATACGTATCGCAATATGTAACGATTCGTGCTTCATAATCATTTTAACCTACAGTCTACAGTCTCTTCCCATAGCATTTTAGCATTGCAGATACATTAATCCATTCCCACACTTAACACTGCTCACCTTTACTACTTCCTTCACCATTTCCTACGCCATAGACCTGTTTCCTTCCCTTCAAGTATTAGAATTGACTATATATTGGTATATTGACTATATAATGGTATTAGATACATTTATCTAACTGCCCAAACGGTTCCCCCACTCTCCACTGCCAGCCTTTAAAACTTCCTTCACCACTTCCTACGTCGTGGGGCCTGTTTCCTTCTCTTCTCTTAGCATTTTAGGATTGAAGATACATGAATCTAACTGCCACAGACGGTTCTCACATTATGCTCATAATTTACTACTTCCTAAGCTACTTCCTACATCGTGGGCCTGTTTTCATCACTTTCCATAGCATTTTAGTATTTTAGATACGTTAATATAATTGCCACAAACATTGCCCACACTTCACACCGCTAGCCTTTACTACTTCTTTCACCATTTTCTATGTCTTGGGCATGCTTCCATCCCTTCTCATTGCATTTCAGCATTGCAGATACATTAATCTAACTGCTACAAAGGGTTCCCAGTTCCCACACTCCACATTGCTCAATTTACTACTTCCTTCACCTCTTCTTACGTCGCGGGCCTGTTTCTCTCTATTCCCATAGAATTTTAAGATTGTAGATACCTTAATCTAAATGTCATAAACAGTTCCCACACTCCGAAAAGCTCGCCTTGACTACTTCCTCCACCACTTCCTACGTCTAGGACCTGTTTCCCTCCCTACACTTAGCATTATTGGATTGTAAATACCTTAATCTATTGGTTATAAACATATCCCACACTCTGAACAACATTTCCTTTACTACTTCCTTCGCAACTTCCTACGTCACCGACCTGATTCCCTCCCTTTCCATAGCATTTTAGGATTGCATATACCTTAATCTAATCGTCATAAACAGTTCCCTCACTCCGGACAGCTCGCATTTACTGCTTCCTTCACCACCTCCTACGTCACGGACCTGTTTCCCTCCCATTCCATAGCATTTTAGGATTGCAGATACCTTAATCTAATCGTCATAAACAGTTGCCAAACTCCAAAAAACTCGCCTTTACTACTTCCTTCGTCACTTCCTACGTCACAGACCTGTTTACCTCCCTTCCAATAGCATTTTAGGTTTGTAGATACCTTAATCTAATCGCCATAAACAGTTTCCACACTCCGGATAGCTCGCCTTTACTACTTCCTTCACCAATTCCTACGTCGCGGACCTGTTTCCTTCCCTTCCAATAGCATTTTAGGTTTGTAGATACCTTAATCTAATGGTCATAAACAGATCCATCACTCCGGACAACTCGCCTTTACTACTTCCTTCACCAATTCCTACGTCGCGGACCCCTTTTCCTCCCTTCCCATAGAATTTTAGGAATGCCTTTAATATTACCTTTATCTAATCGTTATAAACAGTCCCCACACTCTGGACAGCTCGCCTTGACTACTTCCTTTACCACTTCATACGTCGCGGACCTGTTTTCCTCCCTTCCCATAGCATTTTAGGATTGCAGGTATCTTAATCTAATCGTCATAAACAGTTTTCACACTCCGGACAGCTCGCCTTGACTACTTCATTCATCACTTCCTACGTCGCGGACCTGTTTCCTTCCCTTCCAATAGCATTTTAGGATTGCAGATACCTTAATATAATCGTCATAAACAGTTCCACACTCCCTACAGCTCGCCTTGACTATTTCCATCACCAATTCCTAAGTCGCGGACCCCTTTTCCTCCCTTCCCATAGAATTTTAGGAATGCCTTTAATATTACCTTTATCTAATCGTTATAAACAGTCCCCACACTCTGGACAGCTCGCCTTGACTACTTCATTCATCACTTCCTACGTCGCGGACCTGTTTTCCACCCTTCCCATAGCATTTTAGGATTGCAAATACCTTTATCTAAGGGTCATAAACATATTCTATATCCGAACAGCTCGCCTTTACTACATCCTTCACCACTTCCTACGTCGCGGACCTGTTTTCCACCCTTCCCATAGCATTTTAGGATTGCAAATACCTTTATCTAAGGGTCATAAACAGATTCTATATCCCGAACAGCTCGCCTTTACTACTTCCTTCACCACTTCCTACGTCGCGGACCTGTTTCCTTCCCCTCCAATAGCATTTTAGGATTGCAGATACCTTAATATAATCGTCATAAACAGTTCCACACTCCCTACAGCTCGCCTTGACTATTTCCTTCACCAATTCCTACGTCGTGGACCCCTTTTCCTCACTTCCCATAGAATTTTAGGAATGCCTTTAATATTACCTTTATCTAATCGTTATAAACAGTCCCCACACTCGGGACAGCTCGCCTTGACTACTTCCTTTACCACTTCCTACATCGCGGACCAGTTTTCCTCCCTTCCTATAACATTTTAGGAATGCAGATACCTAAATCTAATCGTCATAAACAGTTTCCACACTCCAGACTGCTCTCCTTTACTACTTCCTTCACCAATTCCTACGTCTCGGACCCCTTTTCCTCCATTTCCATTGAATTTTAGGAATGCCTTTAATATTACCTTTATCTAATCGTCATAAACAGATCCAACACTCCAGACAACTCGCCTTTACTACTTCCTTCACCACTTCCTACATCACGGACCTGTTTTCTCCCTTCTCATAGCATTTTAAGTTTGTAGATACCTTAATCTAATCGTCATAAACAGTTTCCACACTCCCGACAGCTCGCCTTGACTACTTCATTCATCACTTCCTACGTCGCGGACCTGTTTCCACCCTTCCCATAACATTTTAGGATTGCAGGTACCTTTATCTAAGGGTCATAAACAGATTCTATATCCCGAACAGCTCGCCTTTACTACTTCCTTCACCACTTCCTACGTCGCGGACCTGTTTCCTTCCCTTCCAATAGCATTTTAGGATTGCAGATACCTTAATATAATCGTCATAAACAGTTCCACACTCCCTACAGCTCGCCTTGACTATTTCCTTCACCAATTCCTACGTCGCGGACCCCTTTTCCTCCCTTCCCATAGAATTTTAGGAATGCCTTTAATATTACCTTTATCTAATCGTTATAAACAGTCCCCACACTCTGGACAGCTCGCCTTGACTACTTCCTTTACCACTTCCTACGTCGCGGACCAGTTTTCCTCCCTTCCTATAAAATTTTAGGAATGCAGATACCTAAATCTAATCGTCATAAACAGTTTCCACACTCCAGACTGCTCTCCTTTACTACTTCCTTAATATAATCGTCATAAACAGTTCCACACTCCCTACAGCTCGCCTTGACTATTTCCTTCACCAATTCCTACGTCGCGGACCCCTTTTCCTCCCTTCCCATAGAATTTTAGGAATGCCTTTAATATTACCTTTATCTAATCGTTATAAACAGTCCCCACACTCGGGACAGCTCGCCTTGACTACTTCCTTTTCCACTTCCTACATCGCGGACCAGTTTTCCTCCCTTCCTATAAAATTTTAGGAATGCAGATACCTAAATCTAATCGTCATAAACAGTTTCCACACTCCAGACTGCTCTCCTTTACTACTTCCTTCTTCACCACTTCCTACGTCACGGACCTCAAGCTAGTGTCGTCATTTGATTATATTTATGATCCATACCGTTCCGGTTCTAATAACTGTGGATTAATGCTATCAGCTATTTCTTTATCTACTGCATTCAAAAGTCAACAGCTGATCATATGTTTTTGTTTATGTGTCAAATACTACTTCCATAAGGATTACATTGAAACTTTGAGACCCAGTTTTTTTTTTTTTTTTTTTTTTTTTTATTTATTTACTTTACAATCTGTTCTAATATCTATTGAACAATAAGTAAATACTATGTAATACGAAAAATTGACTTTGGAACATTAAAAATAGCTGTTGAGCACTCTCAACAACAATTTTTTCAATAAAAACACTTTACAAAAATCTGTAGGGCAGGTCGAGAATCGATGGCCTCTTAAGTCTGTAAATTGTATCCACGTTGTTTAATAAGTTAAGAGCTAAATGATTTTGATGAGATTCCAATTTCGTAATATATCGTTCACTTATGTTCATGATTTCGTCCTTAACTGTAGGCATCTTAAGGTCTTGATGTAGTGTCCTATTGCTGACATACCATGGTGCATTTGTTATCTTCCTCAGCATTGTCGATTGGTATCTTTCGAGAATTTCTATATTAGAAGTACTCGCTGAGCCCCATAGTTGCACTCCATATGTCCAGATTGGTTTCAATATAGTTTTATATAGCAATAATTTATTTTCTAGACTAAGTTTTGATTTTCTTCCAATGAGCCAATTTAACTGATTAGATTTTAAATTTAGTTGTTGCCGTTTTCTCCAAATGTGTGTTTTCCAAGTTAACTTCCTATCTAAATGGATACCTAAGTATTTAACCTCAGTTACTTCGGGAAGTTGGGTGTTGTTTATTGTGACAGGAGGACAAGAATTTTGATTTAGAGTAAAAGTAATGTGGACAGATTTAGTTTCATTAATTTTGAACCTCCATGTCTTAAACCAATCAGTAATTATGTTCAGATTTTGCTGTAAATTTAGAGAAGCTTGAAATGGATCACGATGAACAGACAAAACCGCAGTATCATCCGCAAATGTAGCAATTTCTACCAACTCATTTTCTGGGAGATCTGCTGTGTAGAGAATATACAAAAACGGCCCGAGGACACTTCCTTGAGGAATCCCAGATTCAATTGGACGTAGGTTAGTGAGGACGTCTTGATATTTAATTTGGAAAGTCCTGTTTTGAAGGTAGGATTTTAAAATGCTATAAATTGAATGAGGTAAAAACTTTTTTACTTTATATAACAAGCCAACATGCCACACCTTATCGAATGCCTGGCTAACATCCAAGAAGGCAGCTGAACAAAACTTTTTATCTTCCATACATTGACGTATCACGTCAACAACTCGGTGAACCTGTTCTATGGTACTGTGTTTCCGTCTGAAACCAAACTGATGTGCAGGAATCACATCTTCGCCAATAAGTTCTTTTATTCTTTTCAGAAGAAGTTTTTCAAATAACTTAGACATTATTGGTAAAAGACTTATGGGTCGGTAAGAACTTACCTGGTCAAGGGGCTTCCCAGGTTTCGGAATGACTATCAATTGTGCTCTTTTGAAATGATCTGGTACATATTCAAGTTTTAACATTGTATTAAATAAAATAGTCAAAAACATTATTCCTTTTCGTGGAAGCTCTTTAAGTATTTTACCAGTTATGAGGTCGTAACCTGGAGCCTTGTCAGAATGAAGATTGTTGGTGATGATTGATTTTAGTTCTGATGGTTTGAACTTCTGCAATGGGAAGTCAAGTTGTAGCGGAGCATCCAAATATTCAAGTATCTCTTCCTCGTTGTTTACTGCCGCATTTGGTTTGAACACATTCTCAAAGTATTGAGCAAAGGCATTGAGTATTGAGTATTGTATTGAGTATTCTCAAAGTATTGAGACCCAGTGGGGCGGATTCCTGAGAGACTTTTTTAACGCCATATAGATGTTGGCACTCACCGATATGGTCTCTATCACCATGCAAAATTTGAAAACGATTGATTCATCCGTCTAGGAGGAGTTTGCGTATTACGAAATGCATAAGAGTCGACGTATAAGAGCTTCGCTCGCTTCGCTCGCTCCGCTCAATAAAAAATGTCTGAGGAAATAAAAGTGGTGAAAAATGATTAAAAATCACCCGAATCATTAATGCACTCTATGGAATAGACAACTTTCAACGGTTAATAAAATTATTTTACAAACCAATTCCCAAACGTTTTATTGCTGAAATTAATTGAGGTACATGTAAACTTAAATTGTATATATATTATAAGAAAATAAAAGTGGTGGAAAATGATTAGAAGTCCCCCTAGTCATTTACATACCGCTCACTCTGTAAAATCCAGACAACTTTCGACGGGTTATAAAATTATGTTCCAAACCATTTCCCAAAGTTTTTATTGCTGAAATTAGTTGAGGTGCATGTAACCTTAAATTGTACATGTGTTATAAGAAAATAAAAGCTTAGAGCAATACAAAATAGTACGGGTGGGTTCCATAATATCGACAACCATAGAAATTGATCGAAACTGAATTATTCCCAGTTTGTCGACACTGGAATATTCCCACTTAACCGACATCCCAAATAACTGACGTCGCAAATGATCGACACCACAAATTGTCGACATCCCATATTGTCGACAATGAAATAGTTTCACTATGTCGACACTGAAATAGTCCCAGTATATCGACAAGCTCCCGTTCTTCGGAGCTACTCTTGAAAAGGAGTTGTTCTAATTTATCGTTCAGTTCCTCAACTCACGAGTCGCAATATTTAATTCCGAATTCCGACGGACAATTAATTACTGTACTAATGAAAAGCTGGCCATTTTGACTAAGCATTAAGTTATTACTTTTATATTGTAAATATTTATCTTTTTTATTTCTTTCCTTGCTTACAGGAAAATTAGTGACTCGTGTGTTACAAACAATAGTTTTTAAGGGAAACAATGTGAAATAATTTGTATAGGTAGGTTATGTAGGCTAATCAACATGATAACAGACATTTTAGTCACCAACAAGAAGGTAAAGTAAAGTAAGACACCAACAAGAACTTAAGATACAGCTTATTCGTAGGCTAATTCTGAATCATCAAGCAATATTAATTGTAGCAAATGTTTGAATAGGCATATCATTAGGCTATTAGGATTGTCTCTTATTCCCATTGACCCAGTGTCAACTTTAAGAATTTGTTTATGTAAAAATATGCGGCTGCACTTTAGTTTATGTCCTTTATTCATTCAAATGAAAGATATTAAGGGTCAGTTTCTTAACTGGGCTATGCTAATATCGATTGCAACTATCGTTTCGATTAGTAAACCTTCATGCGATTTTTTCACCATCAGCAAGTTTGGTTGGTTAGGTTAGGTTATGATAGTTTTATTTTGCAATAGATGTATTTAAAAATATCGATTACTAATCAATATTTTCAATTCGATAGTTTCAATCAATATTAGCATAGACCAGTTAAGAAACTGTACCCGATATGAATACATAAGTTAGACTATTTAATATTTTGAATATTTCATTCCGTTAGTTAGGTTAGGTTTCACCCTAACATTACCCAAAATTGATATAGGCCTAAGTTTATCGAATGAAATAATCAATATGACTGGGACGGGTGGCGTCGTCCTGTAATCCAGCTACTAGGAGGTCACGAATTGTGGATATTTATAGGCATGCACTGTGGATGCGATACTCCCTGGTGTGGATTAACGTCCGCTTGAGTGAGTACTACGACTATCCGCAGTACTATCCTGATAATAAGACCAATTCGTATAGGCTATAGACCAAGGCAATAATGTGGTTCGGATTCCACTATAAACTGTAGGTCCCTTAGTTGCCATTAGCTGTAAGTTATGGGCTACTAGCAGAGTACCCGTCCTTCGTACGGGGCTGGCATATAAGTTTAATATGCTTATTGCAGTTATACTCAAGCTTTGCGTTTGCAATGGGGAGGAAAAAGTTTGATAAAATTTGCTTCTTTAAATTTACGGTATACTAATGGTATTACACATCTACCATAGCCATAATGTTCTACCACTTCACGTAAACAATAAAGAAAAATAAATTATTACAAATTCACGAAAAATCACAAATTATTTATGACATCAAAAACATAAACATAATCATAAATAATCCTACTTTGACAGTTCTCATTGCCTATCACAGTTTTTTGTTGCTGCTTAGAAAAAAAAAATATTGTGCTGCACCCTGTTGGTAAATCTTATAACTTTTTAATGCTTTTGTATATCATAGAACCCACTTCTTTAGTTGAAACAGCTGACTAAATATTTTAATTTCCTTTAAATATGAATACTCATAAGGTTAACATGGGAAACTACAGAGCCACTGGGGCGGAGCCCGAATGGATTTTTGAGATAAGAATATGCCTATATGTTAATCGGGAATGTGAGCTATCATCATGCCAAATTTCAGCCCAATCCGTCCAGTGGTTTATGCGTGATTGAACTTCAAACAAACAAACAAACAAACACACAAACTTTCACATTTATAATATTAGTAAGATTAATTAACAGCTGTGTCTAAGGAATGTCGGCCTTAGTCACTAACAAGACTACAAGATCGCGCCACTCATCCTGATCCTACACTCATTTCCATTCGTACTTGGCTACTTTGTATGGTCGCCAAGTAATAAGAAAGAAAGTATTAAAGAAATATATTCATTGGAATGAGTGTAGGACGTAAACTTAAGTGCTGTAAAATATTCTAGAGCTGTTTGTATTTGGTGTAAGACTAGACTAAAAATAAAATTCTTCTGTGGCTGACTGTACACCCTTTTTATGGGCTGGGAGAATTTTTTGAATGTTCAACCAAAGAAATCATAATCTAGTCACTGCCTTGTTCTAAGTATTTTTTTTTTTAACTAAATTATATCTTGTTATCTATTTTTTCTGTAATTATACCGTAGTCTTCACTGTGCCATCTAAATGACCTTTGTATCTATTTGATTTTTTTGTTTATGCCTTATTTGTTATGTACTGTAATTTATCTTTGACTTGTGTTTTTGCAACATGTATTCAACTTTTTTGACGTATCCTAATGCATGTACATGTCTAATGGAATAAAATATTGATTCTGATTCTGATTCTGACTTGGATTATATCATTCATTGCTGATGACATCAATGTTAATTTTATAGATGATCCTGGAGCAAAGGCAGTAATTTGACCTGAACCCAAATTGGTCTCTATTTTAAATATTGTCTTGAACCAATAAGTTAAGAGGACTAACCTTTCTGGACGACATTGCCATCGACATCACAGCAGATGAGAGAGAAAGAGAGACCAGAGTTGTGGACCCTGGAGGCAATTACCATACTGCCGTGATAATGTTCCTTGGTCTAACCATAACTTAAGTGAGGTGAGTCAACATTCTTTCCCCTTTGTGATAGATTTTAGGCTATGTTTGTTAACTAAGTTATTCAAAGTTCAAATCAGTACTTTGGTAAGTGTTATCCGGAGGGCCTACTGTCCATATTTGGGTGGGTTCCATATTATCGACAACCATAGACACTGATCCAAACTGAATCATTTGCATTTTGTGTTGAACAGAGTTTGAACAACTAATTATTTATATGTTTTATGGTAACTGTAGGGAAAATATAATGTGTAACACAAGTGCAAACTGCCATTGCTGCACTCGACAAACTTTCCACACTCGCCTACGGCTCGTGCGTTAAACATTTCTCTCATGTGTAGCAAAGTGCCACTTCGCCCACTAGTTACCTACACAAATAAACTATTATTAATAGTTTTTGGTGGAACATAAGGATAATTAATCTTTATGCAAATTTATAGTTTTTTTATAAACATTCAAAACTAGGCCCCTACTTAAAATGCATTTGGATTACATCTCGAAACATGTTGTTTGGAAATGTCTTAATTAGGCTAGAGCTTGCATTTTTGCAAATTGGGAAATAACAAAGAATTAATGTTGAACACGTTCGCTACCGAGCGACGCTCATATGCGTCGGTCCGGTCACTCCTACAGACCAAAAGGAATGATTATGACGTTGCTTACAAACCAAGTGATATAGGAATAACATTGCCAACAGACCAAAAGAGAAATATCGTTTAAATGGACTAATTGACTTCATATTGACCTTAAGTGAATTAGTAAGCAATAAATATTGTTTTATTTATCGTTTTGAGCAAATTTTAAAACGCCGCATATATGCGTCGGTCAGTCTATTTAATAAAATCCAGATAAAAAGATTACCTACATTTTCGTTTCAATAGACCAGGCGACGCACGATTAAGCGTCGTTGTAAATTTGGTTGTTTCAAGCTTTTACTCAAACAAATTAAGAAACTCCAAACACTCGCCAAAACTGCGAAGGTTATAACGTTTACATCTGTTCTGAGATGTCGCGGAATGCACAATGTAAACAACAATGTTGCCAACTGTTGTGTGACGTAACCAATCGTCATATCCACACACCAAGCGACGCACATTTGCGGCAGATATCCCTCTAGACTGATACGATAAAATCAGGGCTTTAAAATAGACCGTTGCTAAGAAATACGCTTATTAATAACATTGAACACCGACGCAAGTGTGTGTCGTTAGTCTATTTCAATATGATCAGCTGACGCAAATATGCGTCGGTGGTCTATTGTGAGAAACGAGTCGACGCACAATTGCGTCGCTAGTCTATGCAAACGTAAATTTTATATAATTGTGGTAGCGAACGTGTTAAACCAATTTATTTTGTCTAAACCAAATTATTGTTACAAATTATAATATTTGTACTAACTTGACCCAGATTTGCTCAAACATTTTCCTATTATCTGTACCTATTTGAATATCACAAATATAGAAAGGAGTGTACAGACTTGTATTATTTGTTGGACTCAAAGTATTTGTATAACACTATATTTTGCAATATTTCTGTACAGAACTGAAGCCTACCAGTAAAATGGGGGCGTTGTAATTAATATCCTCCGACATTGGAGAATACAGGGGAGAGGAGATGGAGGATGGGGCGAAGTAAAGACTAAGATTGAAGAGAACTAACTAATGGTAAGTTTTGCCATTTACTTAAATTTAATACTTATAAATCCAGGGCCGTGTCCATTGCCCCCAAGCCTATGTCGCATAACCCTCCTGAATTACTAGTATTTAACCAGCATTTTAACTGGAGATGTGCCCAAAAATCTGCTTTTGTTTTTTAGGAAATGTAGGCTATATTTTACGACTACCCGCTGGTAGTCGTAAATTTCGATCACGCAATCTTTGCAGATGCTTTCGGCTATCATGAGAATACAAGACAAACTTGGATTATTGTATCCCCTAATTCTAACAGATTGTGGGAAAATTTTCCATGAGAAAAAGCATTCTTTTGAGGCCCCAAGTGAGTCCCCTTCCTAGGCCGAAGCCCTTGGCAATCGCAGTGTCCACCGTTAGGGGAATACAGCCCTGATTTGGAGGCCTATGTTGGTGTGGGGCCTGGTGCAAACCTCCCCCCCCCCCTCAGTACGCCACTGAGTACATTAAATAATGATAGAAGTATGCATAAAAAGACTCTTGTTCTGTTCAGAATACTGTTTTTAATATTAATTTTTGTTCTGTTATATCCAGGCCTGATGACAGGGTGGATGGCGATGGAGGCATGGAGGTTGGGGGAGAGGAGGCTGAAGAAGTGGAGACAAATCAGTTTAGATCCATTATGTTGATTAGTTTAACATTTATTTTGAACATCAGTATTTAAATTTTTTTCTCATTTAGATTATTAAATTAAATTAATTTTATTGTTTTTATGAAGATGTTTTCTTACATTTTTAATATTTGTTTGTACTTCTGCCTGGTAAAAAAATACTGTTTTCCTACAGTTACCTAACAATGTACATGTTCTCTCACTGATTTGAGAAAGCAAAGTGGCCAATTCGCTCATCAGTGAGACAATGTTAACATTGTCTCACTCTAATTACTTTGTCTCACTCCAGATTTGCAACGTGAAGGCACAAAATAGTGAGCGCGTAACATGCAGACAAGGTTGTATGTGCGCGAAATACGTTGGCAGCACTGGCTGTAAATCAGCTGGTCAGCTGTTTTACTGTTGTATCATTAAATGTCATATTAAAAGTTCACCTCTGTGTAAAAATATGTCACGTTTCTTTACCAATTTATTTGTTTTATGGTAACTGTAGGAAAAATATAATGTGCAGCTCGAGTGCGAAGTGCAATTGCCTCACTCGAGAAACCATTCCTCACTCGCCTACGGCTCGTGAGTAAGTATTTCTCTCGAGTGAGTCAATTTATCACTTTGCTCACTAGTGGCACAAATAACTATTATTATCTTTGTTAAAATGATTACTTTCACTAACTGACCTTGTCTTGGGTAAAAAGCGATATCTTGATATTTTTCACTAGCGGGGTGCCTGTTCTATGGGCGGGGATTGTATAAGTCAGTAGAAACCTTCTTATATTTCGATACTTGGAAAATTAATCATTTCCAACTTTATATAGTATAGATCGCTATTCCTGTATTGATGTACTGAAATGAAATGTTGTTTTTTTTATATATTTTGATGACACACTATTAAAAAGGCATAGCAATATTCTAAAGTTTATAACAGCTTATGTTTGTGTTTTTATTAATGATTTATTGTGACTTTTGAGTGATTGAAGGATTTGTGATTTGGTTTTAAGGAGATTGATGTACCTAATTTTGTATCTATACTTATTAAATAGGTACGCAAGCAGGTTTTTGTGACAATTACTTCTCCGAAATTACTGAACCGATTGACATGTTTTTGGTGTCATTGGAAAGAGCATAACGTGAAGTTGTGCAAGAAACTTTCTTTTTAGGGAAATAATTAGAGAGTGAGGACCTGGGGCCCTTTAAAGTTTCGTATTTCTCCATAAGATTAACACGGGAAACAAAAATTGTTATGAAACTCCAGCTGTTGTCAGAAATTTAAAGTGAGAAGAAGAACATATGTTAATTGTAAAATTGTGACAGAGAGGTTATGCAGAAAATCAGGTAGTTAATGGTTATTTGGTGCTATTAAAATAAAGACTGAAATTTGTAAACGCACTGGTGACAATGGGTGATACCACGCAAACTACATTATCATTGACAAAGACCAACATGGACAACCTATTGTGGCTATAAGTGGGAAACATTTCTACAACACACTAAAAGCCTATGGTGGAAGGAAAAAACATAGGTGTGCTATTCCCGTCATATTCTGACGTCACTTGGATTGCAAACAAAAGATATAACCTGATTGTAACTGTCAAATTAGTATGTAATTGTTTTGATTTGATTGTTAATGTTTTTTTATAAAAACACACATTATAAAAACAATAACAACCAAATCAAAACAAATACATATACTAATTTGACAGTTATAATCAGGTGATCTTTTGTTTGCAATCCAAGTGACATCAGAATATGACGGGAATAGCACACCTATGTTTTTTTCCTTCCACCATGCTAAAGCCAGATCAGCTTTTGAAACATGATAAAATATTTACAAGAAATGTTGATTATGTTGAACTGGTAAGTTACATTGTGAGTATTATCATTAGTTACGTAATCTTTGAGTTGACTCTTTTAGACTCATCGGAATTTATAAATTATATTTGTTCTTAAACAAGTTATTTGTTTTTAAATAACTCCTTTATGTACTTCTTTACGATTGCTCGATTTCAAGCAACATATACCTAGTTCAATTTATGGGTCAACTTTTTTTTATAAGAACCGGGTTTCGTTATTCATGTAACTATTAGAACACTTTTTATTATAGTATCCATAATAGGAGTAAAAAAATTAAACATAACTAGAAAACACCAGATAGGATTCGAATCAGCTGCTTGATATTGACATTTTGTGGACATTGTGTGACTATTTTTATATATATTTCAATCTACTGATGAGGGAATTAAATTAACAACAATTTATTTAGTATAAAAAGTATAGTTGACTTCCAATTAAAAGGTTTATTATAATAAAATAACTGGATTTGTAATAAAACAACTATTATTATAATAAAAAGCTAGTGACATCATTTTTTATGTTTATGAACCATACCGTTTCTGTTCTAATATCGGTGATAACAGTTACAGTAATTCCTTTTACCTGCGACCTTTTTTAAAGTAGCCGTTTCAGTTAAGTCCTTTAATAAGTCAACAGCTGATCTTGTGTCTTTGTTTTTGTGTCAAATACTGCCCATAAAGATTACATACAAATTTTTAGAGCCAGTGGGGGGGATTCCTTAGAGAGTTTTTTTAACGCCATATAATTGTTAGCACTCACTGATATAGTTTGATGCAAAATTTTATTTAACACTTATGACCGGACACCCTGTATGGTCTTTATCACCATGCAAAATTTGAAAATGATTATTTATTTTATTACTTGGTACAGCACATATACAATGAACTTATATAATACAAAACTGCATAAGCCTTAAAAAAAGGCTTGTCCGCAGCGTTTCTTATAATACTATTGTCTTTTCCATCTTTATCTTGATCTTGAGTCAGTCGTGAACTATTACTGTACAGAAACTTTAGAAAATAAATTAAATTCAAAAATAAGAACAAGTGTAAATGCAAGGAATATTCTTAAAATTATTTAACATGAGTATATACTTTCAGATTACAAATATTCAACAAACAAATAAATATCTAACAAGGAATAATAACAGCTGAAACAAACTTTATAACATACAATAAAACAGGAACAGGAACTATATTTTTAACAGTTGATAAAAGATATATGCATATGTAAAATTCTGTAAAGAATAACAGCAACTGAAAAACAACAAAAGACACAACTTGTATTATACTATGATTTAACAACAACAATAAATAAGAGTTCTCTAAAAACGTTAACTACTCGGTCATATACCATTTTTTTTAGTTTTACCTTCAATAATTTATATGTCTTTATTTCTTTCATACATTGTGGCAAACTATTAAACAATGTAGGAACCAAATAATAGTTTCTTGTACGCTTTGTGTATTTATTATTAATAGTAGGAACAATGAAAAATTCTTTAAAAATTCTTTCCTAGAGTTGTATCTATGCACGTTTTTTACTTTGAACCTGTTTGAAAAATAATAATCTATTATTAACAAATAAGTGAACAGCTTTTCCACTGGTAAAACCCCTGTTAACTGATAACACAACATTGGAGTTTCACTTCAAGCCGTATTACTTCAGCCGTCTAGGAGGAGATTGCATATTACGAAATGCATAAGAGTCAACGTATAAGAGCTTCGCTCAATGAGTTATACGATTTTAGATTTTTTTAACATAGGGTAGGTAAGGTGTTTATATATTTCCAGCACAAAGAACCATTTTGAACAATATTTTTGAAGATTTTCAGTGTTTGTTCTTGTGTCTGATTAACATGGATATGGATGTCACCGAAATAGCCACCCTGGAAAATACATCACACAAACTGACCTTGTGAAAATAGGGTCAGGAAAGTAAAAACCTGTCATTGTTAGTGTCAGCCCGGTTTTCTGGCTAGTCAAACTAGCCTATAACTGAATAAATTACACACACTTACCATGGTTGGAATATGCAGGCAACCTTGTGATTGCATTGAACAGTGTGACAGAACAAAAACCGATAACTTTGTGGTAATGCAAACATCTATACAGTAATGAGAATTGAATTGAGAATCAAAGATTCATAATTATAATTAACTAGCTGTACCCGCGGGCTTTGCCCCGTTTAACTTCATAAGTGAGCTCGTTCGCATGGCTCAATCACGTCCTGGTTGAAGTTCATTCGCTACGCTCACTCACCTTTAGGTTGGAGCTCGTTCGCTGCGCTCACTTGCCTTCAGGTTATCTCGTTCGCTACGCTAACTTGCCTCCAGGTTGAAGTTCGTTCGCTACGCTCACTCTCCTTTTAGTTGCAGATTAGCTGTTGTCATAAATTAAAAAAAATAATAGTGCTGCACCCTGTTGGTAATCCTTGTAACTTTAATGCTATTGAACATTATAGAACAGAATCAACTTGTTTAATTGAAACAGCTGTTAAGATTCATTAATTCAATTTAAATATGAGTACTCATAAGGTTAACATCAACATGGGAAACTCCAGAGCCACTGGGGCGGAGCCCGAGAGTCCGATCAGAATAAAAACAACTTAGTAGTTCTATTTGATTCCTAAAGAATCAGTGTACCAAATTTCAGCCTCCTAGGTAAATGGGAAGTGGGAGAATTAGTGATGAGTGAGTGAGTCAGTCAGTCAGTCAGTGAGTCAGTGAGGGCTTTGCCTTTTAGATAATTCAGTAATAGAGTAAACAAACAAACAATAAATCTTCATAAATAAAATTAGAGTTTTGTCTGTAAATTGCTCAGAATTATATATTAAAACGTTTTTTATTAGCTCGCTTTCTTGTCTGGTAAACATTTTGCAATCAATTTTATACTAAGTTCCCAATGAGCTATAGAGACTTGAAACTTGAAACATAGCTCACAAATGGATGACAATGCAATATCATTTAATATCACATTTCCCTTGGGCTACGCCCCATGGCCTTCCAAATTTTCCATGTTTACATTTTGAAAGAATGTAAATATATCAATTAATTTAAGTCATCTGTAATTTTTTTTTAATACTAAATAATATAATTCACAATTTTGATATGGAAAAATAATAAAACATTTGCTATTTAAATTAATAAATAACTGGTACTCCAGCCCCATCTTCAAACTCTCTAAGGGTCCTCCACTTCTTCCTTGTCCTCCTTAGACACATGCTGCTGGCCCTTAACGTCGCACAAAAAGGTTTCTTCCATTTTTCTGTTAGGCGTTCTGTCATTGCTCTGAGCAAGGTCTGAAACTCTTTGCCCAGCATTACGTCCACAGACGTGACTAGTGGGGTAGAAGATGCATTTCTGGTTTCTGTTATTGTTAAATATTTGCTCTTCTCTCTTTCTGCATTTTCCAACACTTTTTCGTATGGGAGGTTCAAGTACGATGGAGCATCAGTGTCAACGACACGTACATCAAATAATGCTTCCGTCTGAACCTCCCATACACCCCTACAAGCCAAGTCTGCTTTTAGTGCTGCAGTATCAAATGACCCTTACTCAGAGATCATTGGTTCTCGAACACAGTTTCCCCATGCTAGCTCCATCAAGCTTCCAAGGGTACCCCTTACCTCATTATGTCTTCTTATTATCAAACCACCTGTGCAACATTTAAGGGGATGTTCCATATTGAAGTTTTTGCCACAGCCATCACATGAAGAGTGGAGGTGTATAGGAGTTTTCCCATATCTTAATGCAAGAGCATCTCTGAACTCCAGTGGAGAAAGATCTAAGTTAAGTTTTTTCAGAGGAATGCATGACAGCCATCCACTGTGTTTCGCTTTAGTATTTGCTCCTCGCAAGATAATTTTTTGTTGTTTTAGAGGAAAATTTTGAATAGTCGATTTCAAAATGTTTTCTTCTCCTAATCTTCTCTCCTCTTTCAAGTCTTTTTTTGTGATAATCAAATGTTCTTCATGTTCTTGCATTCTTATTTTCCTCTTAGTTTTTAGGGAGTCTATGATGAATTTACAACATCTCTTTGAAGCTCGGAACAATGCTTTTCCCTGAGCGGTAGGATCCACTAAACCAATTCCTCCATTTTTTACTTGCAGATGTAATATTTTTTGTTCATCTTGGTTTAGGTGAGAGCCAAATAAAGCAGGAAATAGGTTTTGTTCTATTGAGTTTTTTTACTGGATGAAA